GCTTATTTTAATTTCTCATTTTCAATTTTATATATTGGGGGTTCCAATACTAAAGGCACATTGCATGTAAAGGAATTCCTACAATACTGTCAAAGGGCATGACATCCTTAAATTCTGTGAGCAGACTGGTATTCTCCTGTTAAAATTATTACTGGAGTCCAGAGCTCCTATTTGCAGTATTCAAGGTCAGCTTCCAACCTGTTCTATTAATGGCAATTAATTAAACAGATAAATATTTTTTTTGCACCTTTTCTTGCTCTTCTCTGAGATTTTACTTACAGGCAATAATAGGAAGGTTTTTTCCACGTAAATGCGATTGGCACTTTTCAGGGAGTAGGTGCTCCTGGGTTTGTTGATGGCAGTCAGGAGCTTCTTGAAGCCAGAATGGATATCTGCAGCTTTCTTGCTCTCAGGATCCTTGGAAAAAGAAACCAAACCTTCAGCAATTTCATTTTTGCATGAAGCTTTCAAAACATGCTAAGTGATGTTTATAGGAGAGGGATTTGGGTTTCTCTTCCCTACTTTTTATTTTCCCAAGTTTACCATCACTGCAATTTGCAGGGCTCTGTTCATGACTGGATTAACTGAGCTGCCATGTAACAAACCTTCCAGACTATCCCAGTGACTCATCCTTTCGTGCTTCTGAGAGTCTGAGTGAGTAAAAGGAACTGAACTTCAACCTGTTGTGAAGTATGGTTGGGGTTTGTACTTTAAAGAGGGGTGCAGACAATAAATACTGGTCTCCTAAAGCTGTATCTGGACATCTTGATTCTGAAGGTTCTTTATCATGGAATTTAAGTCCTAATAGATACCAATTTTCTTCTCTTTGGTCTCCCCCGAGAAGGTCTGGCCACAGAAGAAGCCTCAGCTGCTGCTCCCAGGGTGAAATGAAGGACCTGCAAGCAGAGTTTCCAAAGATGACAAATAGGCATAAAGGACCTTGTGAGATTTAAAGTCAAATGGGGTTCAAATGGTTGTCATATTTCTCTCCCTGTGGTACCTCACTGTGCTATCTGCTCCTTAGGTAACTAATCAAAGGGATACTGAAGCTGTAGTGACAATAAATCCCATGGAATAACAATTAGTAGCACCATCCCCCTCCCAGACCACCAGCACAGTGCTCCTGTCTGCATGCTGCAAGGCAGAACTCACTTCCACAGCTCTTTCTCCCAACAATAGGAATGTATTTGTGCAAATCCAAATGGTTCTTCCCACGATACTAGTACAAAAGCAACCTACCTCTGCCATCTCAGTTGCTGTAGTTCCTTTTGCTCCCAGGTATGTCAGAGCCAGAGCAGCTGATATGCTCCACGGGGAGAAGAAAATATTTTTTCCCTTGTTGGTCTCATTTAGCTTGTTGAAAAGATCAATGGTAAACTTGCCAACTGATGTGGAGACCACTTCCATTTTTACAGCCTGGAAAGAGGCAGCAGACCAATATTTGTGTGTTGAAATTTTTGTACAGGGTACCCATTGGTGAGAAATGTTGCACATGCAAGACATTCCATTTAAAGCACTAAAACTAGTAGCACAGTTGTATGTTTATCTTCCACACAGATACTGTTTGCCTCTTGTTGGGAGCACCAATTTATTTTAGATTTTTTTTTCCTCTTTTATACAGCTGCAGTTTTCTTTGTGGTTCTTTCTGCCTCTGATTTTCAAAGATGTGCAGATTTGGAACCTCTGTATTTCTTTTCCTTTTTGTCCTTAACTAATGTTCCCTGGGGACCTAATATGAATTTTTAGTACATTGGTTCTCAACATGTTTGAGTTCCCCACTACTAGATTTTGGATCTGTATAGAATTGACAGCTGATACCGAGGAAGGATTCAGGCATAATTTTTAGTCTCATTTGCTTTTCCTGGCCAGCAATGTATGAATGCAGTCGTTTCATGAACAGCGAAGCTGTTGCTTCCATTTAGACTTATGCAGTTTATTCATTGTGTGTACCAACCAGCCCTTCTGTATGTTCCAGCAATTTTATTTTCCCCAGAAACTGCCAGATGCCTTGAGGTTACGAGTACTCCAGGCTACCCAGTAACACCTGCCTCATGTAATTTACCACTCAAGAGACCAGAAATGCTTATATTATTGTTGTTGTTGTTGGTATTAATACTTGTATCTATGGAATGGAGCAACAAAAATTGAGGGGCAAGCTCTGAAGTCTGCAGGTATTTATCAAGTGTTTGGTTTCCAAACAATTACATTCTTTTTGGCAGCTAGTATGCCCTGAGGACCAAGTCTGTATCACAGAGTGATTTTCTTTCCTTGGTGAATGCAACCAAGAGAGCATCAGGATGAGAAAATCTGTTTTCAGCTAAGGAATGCTCCTGAGTCTCTGGCCTGATAATGTGCAGCACTGTGCCTTTGTGTCAAGTATGGAATTCTTTTTTCAAAATGAAGATGTTACTTGTAATGCAGTCTCTGCCCTAAGAAAAATTTCCTGCTTGTGAATAATTCTGCCTCAAATGAGCAGTTTCCCTTAGACTTACAGAATTATTTTCTCTAATGTTTGACATTTAGAAAAACACAAGGCAAGAATAATGCATTATAACACAAAATTATCATTATATATTATCATTTATCCATACAGTCACACATGGCATAGATTTCTTTTTTAAAACATCATAAAATTTACTTAAATTGATACCAATATTTACCTTTATTATAATAAAATAATTATAAATTTAATATAAATCTATTTATATATTTTGTATTTTCCTATATTATATATTTTATCTATTTATATTTCTATTTTATATTTATATATTATATAACATATACTATATACATATTTATATATTAATATTTATATATGTAATATATATAATATGTATATATATATATGTGTATATATAATATGTAATATATTAAGTTATAATTAAGTAATTACCTTTTAATGAGAGAGCACACTTAGGTCTTGTCCTCAGTCAGGTTCTGTGTTTGTGTGTTAAGCAATTTTTATATTAAGGAACATAGTACTGCTTGCCCCTCCCTTTCCTTTTTATCTACATCCAGGTTGCTTCCACCTACCTCAAGTTCCTTTCTACCACATTCCCAAAGGATCTTATGAAATTTTGACCTTTTTGTTGACCTGGTCACTTTTAGACAGGTTTAGACATTTCAAAAGGACAATGGAATTAAAATCAGAAGTCTATTGTTGCACCACAGTAGCCTACTGACAGGATAGCAAAGCAAGTTGCTGATTCCAAGGGTTGTCTGGTGTTGTGGAGATAACTACTCTGTTGTTTAAAATAACTGACTTGTAGAAAGGTTACACAATGCTTGGGTTTTGGCTTCTGGATTTAAGCAGATATTGAGAGTCTGATTCTCCTCTCTGTGACTCCTGAGTTTCAAATGCAGTACCTCAACATAGAATCAAGCTTCTGAGTCAAACACTGCAAAACCTTGAGTTACTGAGCTGTAAGGAGGAGGGCAAGAATTGAAACAACCCTACTGGAAGGGTTCAAGCAAAGACAGAGAGAAACAGGAGAGGTAAACACGGCACAAGAGCTGTCACTTTGAAGTCCCAGAAGAGAGACAGTCATGGAAGAAGAATGTGGTGGCAACAACTCTTAAGACCCTAGAGGGCAGGGGAAGATGCAGCAGAGGAAGGAAATTGTACTGTGTGCTAAGCATTTTACTGCAAGCTTGATTACAGGAAGACAGTGGGTCAAGAATTCTAGAAAATGTCAGAAATCAGTGTTGTGCAAGGCAGTGAAGAAATGCCAGAAATTAAACAAGTGCTGGTTTAAGTATGGTAAGTCCTCCAGAAATCTGGATAGGAGAAAAGTAAACTGAATGGTTGGGTGGTGAGAAAGCCAAGCCAGGAGCTTGGAGCAGGTCCATGAGTAGATAAGGTTAGCCATATCCCTTTCAAGACTTTAACAATATTTCCAGCACTGCTGTTGACCCTGGGAAAAGGTTGTTCCTTAATGTACAACTCACTTTTTATGTGCTGTGGCCACTGCCACTCAGGAATGATATGGCACAGCCAAAAGGACATCAACTGTGTCATCTTTGCAACCATGCTTAAAATAGTGAAGGAGAAAGAAAAGGTGACTCACATTTCCATTGACTTTAAAGGCCTGAGTGAGTTTGTGCTCATGTTGTCATGGTTTTCTTCCTTCTTAGCTTCCCAAGTGTGGCTTTTCTGTCTTTATTCCTAAGGCAGACCAGGAAGTGCTTAAGAGGTTTATCCATGGGGACATGCCGCTCTTCCATGAGGTGAAGGAGGGTGTGGCAGAATTGGGTCTGAATGCACAGGGATCCAGTGTCATGTTTCACAACTGAGATAGGCAGAAGGCATTTCTCTTGGGGTTCTACAAGGGATAGTGTAAAGCACGTGCTTCATAACACTTTTCTTCTGGTCCTTCCCATTTGGGAAGCAGAACCAGAAGGGACCCTGGGAGCAGCTGAGAGCTTGAAAGGAAAGAGAAAGGACTCAGGGACAGTCAGCAGCCTCTTCTCTGCCAGGAAAAGGGTGTCCTGCTGCTTCAAGAAGATGCATTTGTAGTAAGATGCTGTTAGTGTGTGCAAGTCCGTTAGAAACCTATTCCTTATCTCTCTGTTGTGAATTCAGATAGTCAGGAGCATTCCCTGCAAATATGCATGACTGAACAGGACACTCCCTTAGAAGAAAGAGCAGTGACAGGATATATGACCTGGATAATAAAAATAACACCTGGGAGATTCACATTCATCTGCCAGAAAGCACTTATGGCCATTAGTATTACTTCTATTAGTATTAGACTTGATTCTCCCATTTGATCTTGTCTCAAACCCGTGAATAAGTGGAAAAGTAAAATGAGGGTAAAGCAGTATGGTGCTAGGCTGGAAATAGTGTCGTAAGGTTGAAAGTTTACAAAGGAGAAGGTTGTAAGACACGTGTTTTATTTTCCTAGTTCTACAGTGTTGTTAAATACTTCCCAATTGCTGTGGGACGGAGATTAGAAGGTACATGTGTTAACCCCTTTTCGAGCAAAAAAGAAGCACCAGTATCTGGAACAAAGATTTTGCAGGTTTATTTCATTGCCAGTTCTGCCAGGCCGCAAAGTTGGTAAAAAATTGACAAGAATGCAGGTGAGTAGCATGCCTTAGGGATCAGCATGAGCTGAAACCAATGGAGATGCAGCAGCATGCTAAAACAAGGAGATTTTCCTGGGGTTTTTTTCTTCTTTGATATCAAAACTTTAAAATTACTGGTTGAGCTCAGCTCATTCTGTTCTGAATTGTGGAAGTTCTAGTTCAGGAAGTGCCAAAAAGACACAGTAATGCTCTTTGTACAGTTTGGTGCTTAGGGTGTAGTTCTAGCATTTTGGGGTTCTTTGGCTAAGAAAAAGAGCCAGAGGCATAAATTTGAGGTTATTTTTTATAAATACTCTCTTCTAACATTGAGAGATTTGTCAACAGTGCAGGAAAATTAAGAAGTGCACATTGAGATGTTCCTTGTGGTGTGTATTTTTGTTGTTGCAATAACCTGTTTACTAATCAAGTTCCTAGGGAGAAGAAAACCTTCCCAAGAAGAGGATAGTCTTGGTCTTGTTGTGCCTGATAAAGAAGAGGAAAGGGTGATCTGCCAAAAAGAGAACAGTAGCACCAAGACTTCGTGATGCCAGTGTTGCCGAGCTGGCGGCTGCTGCCTCTGTGCCTTCCTCATTGACTTCCAGGTAACACTTGTGAAAAACTTGTGACAAAAACAGATCACCAGTCTTGGACATTGCTGTGAAATCAGCTTGACCTTCTGTGAAGGCATCTTGTATCCCCATCCTGCTCAAAGTAGATTTGAGGTCATATTTCTCTTCCAACGTGAACCTGGGCAGATAAACTTCCGTGTTAATTTTCTCCATTAGTTCTGGATTCGTCCATGCAGACAGGTTTTCAAAAGTCAATTCTCTTTCTAGCTGCAGTAAGTAAAAAGAAAATTAGAAAATTAAAAAAGGTTCAAAAACCTGTGTCCTAAGGGCTATTTCTTCTCTTAAATGGAGAACTTTTCAAGACGTTGTAAGAGTACAAGAAAAACAGTAATGGAACAGCAGTTTGGAGATCTTTTTAACTAAAGGAGAATTTTTTCCTATGGTATATCAATGCAATATTTGAAATGTTCTCATTTAGCTCTCATGTAACTTCCAGGAAATGTAGCAGAGCTGCAATAGTCTGGTTGTTTTTCTGTTCCCAGTGCTGTCTTCCCCACATGTTAGAATTTACTGAAAAGAGCATTCCCCCCACCCACACAACACTTTAAAATGAAAATTTCTTAAGGGCTTGTTATTCAGAGGCAGAATCAGGCTTTTTACAGAAGGTGGCAGTGTCCATACGTATTAATTCTGGGCATCCTGGAACATAACATAGGCTGCCTGTTTTTTGGTGGGCTTTTCTTGGAATGAAATCATATCTGTCTGAACTGGTGCGGACAGTGGATCTCAGCAGGGCTGGTTTTCCGTCCTCATTTTTGTTCAGCTGGAAAAGGGGAAATCTTATGGGGTTTGGGTTACCTGTTTCTAGGACTGATCAACTTTAGCAGCCACAGATGTGCTGGCTTCCAAGACTAAGAAGTCTAGTCTGAGCTTCAAGAGCTTCAAGCTCAGAGTACTAGACTAGATTTGGGATTTACTTTACCTTGAGCCTGATCAGTACCCTCCTTCCTGGAAACATGACTGCAGCCTGGTCTTTTACCTCACACATGCATAAAGTGATTAAATAATGACACTCTTACTTCTTCACATTATTTATGTTCTCTGTTTTTTTACCTTTTGTAATCCAGAGATGTCACTCGGTAGCAGGATAAACATGCTGAGGTCGTTGTTGACGTATGGAAGCTCAAGAACATCAGCCTGAACTGATTCTACGTAGTTTAAGTTAAATTTGTCCCTCAGGTACATCATGGGCACTGGTTTAGTTGTATGCTGCAACAAATCAAATTGAATGTTTCACATTTTTACTCTGAACAGTAAAAAGACTGAGTTAAAGTAGAACAGTGGAGGTTTATTGTATTTACCCTACAAGCTGCCCAGTGTGTCTGAGACATCCTTATGGATAGGACACAGAACACAGATCTTCAGAGGATCCCTGCAAGGCACTGGAAAGGCACTAGGAGGCATGGCATGCTATCTGAGCTGTCTCAGAAGACACCAATTGTAGGAAACTGTATACCACTCTGATTGGTTGAATGGTTGAAAGTGAAAATGTAAAGAACTAACCTATACAGTTTTGTTCACCTCTTTTTTTTTCCCTGCCTTTGGAGAATGGAAGCTTTTTTGAAGTCAGCTTCTGACAATTTACTTGTGCCTCAGGGCCTGGTATGTGCGTGCAGTTTTAGTGCTGAAAGTGTGGTGAAATAAATATACTGAATGCTTTAAATAAAGTAACTGTCTCTCCACATGGATTTAAAGGGTGACAGGATTTCTCCCTTCCCTCCCCCCATATTTTCCAGGTTTTTCCACCTGCAGTGTAGGAAATAGGGCAGTATATGGCCATACCATGTTTATTCTGAAAGGTCTTTGCCTGGTAGCTTCAGCTTCAAACTTTGTTGCCCAGTTTCCTTTGAAGTAGAGTGCATTTATCAGGACTAGCCTGGTGAGTGAATCTACAGATCCAGAAGGCAGCAGATTTTGGATTTTACCTGGAAAAAACAGAGGGACATTCACACATCTGTGCCGTTTCTCTGTTTCCATCTAAGTGCTGGCACAGTTTCTGGGGATATAAGCCAGGGAAGTTTTAAGTGCTGACAGCAGCCATCTAGTTTGAGATTATTTGCAATTAGGTAATTGCTGGGGTAATCTTGATTTACAAAGGATGAGCCATATTCCTCACACACTGAGATGGAGGACACTAATTTTAGTAAAAGCTTTTCAGTAGATGAGTAATTTAGGAAAAGTCTGAATTACCTTTTTGAGGTGAATTGTTCACCTGCAATGGGCCCCTTGGGCACAGAGAAGCCAAAATGACATTTGGAGAGGAAAGGCTGGAACTTACCTTCAGTCTGTTTCTCAACACTGGAATTGATCTCTCTCCTGATTGCATCTGCTGCTCCCACAAAGTCAACCGATTGCGGCTCTGCACCGTAATATCTCTTGGCTAACAATAAGTATTCCTGGAGTGCAAGAGAGACACCTGACTTAGGTTTGTTGCCTGCCAATTTGAGTACTACTGCAGCCAGAGATAAAAATTACATGGACACAAGCACAGTGCTTTTCTCAAAGGAACTAGGTATTTTTTAGTAGAAACACTAAATTTAAACATTCTCATCTAACTACATCTAAATCACTCTGGGATTAGATATACATCCCAAAAAACTAAAACTTAGGGTCCAAAGTCTAAGGAAAAATATCATAGAAAATGTTCTTATTAAAGATAATTACATAGTTTGCCAATGTAGCGAAAATATTTTAAAGTACATGGCTTGTGTTGCCATAGGTAGAGCACGAAGATTAAATGACACTTCAAAATCCAACTAAAAGTCTTACCTTACTGAAAGGCAATGATTTTTCTCCATATAACTGGTTGACACTTTTAAGTAGGTAATTTTTAGTGGGTTGGTTGATTTCAAAGCTGAGGGCTTTAAATCCAGTGTGGATGTTATCTGCTTTGCCAATCTCTGTCTTGGATAAAGAAAAATTAAAAGGACATTATTCATCTGTTGTATCAAAATGCTGGGTTTTTTTCCTTCACACAAATCCAAGTGAAGTACTTCTCTTCAGGTGATCTGTTACCTATATTACAAAAGAAGAGGTGCTCTAAACTGGACAGCTATCGAAATGATAATTTTAAAGTATTAGAAGTTGCCAATGTGGTACAGACACTTGTGGGTATCTTGGAATGCAAGTGTTAAGAGCCTGAACAATTTAAAATATTTAAGGGTTTATAAACAGATATTATGAAACTTTGGATATCCAGAAAACAAAAGTCAGAGAGTAATTCTTAAACAATGCATGAGATTTGGCTCTATCACTCCCTTAATTTATGAAAGTCTAAAGTGTTACATGGAAGATTTGCCCCTAAATTTCTTAATCTCTCTCTGAATATTTTGTGGGGTTTGGTTTTTGTTTTTTTATGTTTCAGTAATTGCAGTAAATTCTCTATATTGAAGAGGCAGGATTAAATGAAGATGGGTTCAGAGTCTCCAGTGAGCTCAAGGAAGAAGCTATGAATTAGTAAATTAAAAATCTGCACCTGTGCTGTATTCATCTCATCATTACATCAGAATCAGAGGCACAAATAGACCCTTAAATCTCCAGAGTGTTAGAACTCATAGCACTACCCATAGCACTGTAATTCTTAGAGTTAGGGCAAGTGTTACTCATGAGGAACAATCCCTCTCCTGTTCATGCTGTGCAAATGACATGTTGACATAACCCCTAAAATAAATCTTCCCACCAGAGGATTTGGCTGTGGGGTGCAGATCCATTCATCAAAACTAGCAGCAGGTGGGATTCTGTGGGCCAAATGCAGGGAAACAGCTCAGCCCCTAAATAATAAGGATGATGGGAAAGAGCAGGGAGAAGAGTTTGATATCATCATGTTTGAACGGTCAACTAGGAAAAAGACTTTACTGACTCAGAGGGATTACATTTGCTCTTCTCTGTTGTTCTGCTATGTTAAATTATATATAAATTGTGACAAGATGCCTGCCAGTATGGCAAGGACTTATCTCAGGAATAAAATTATTCCAATTTCTCTAAGTTTTATTGCGGACAACTGGTCTACTTTGGGAAATCTCAACATTTAAATTTATGATGATACCTTCTCAATTGAAATGGAGACTAATTTCTAAAACATATCAGATAGGTAGCCTGGAAACATAAATGTTCTTGTTTTCGTTGTCTTGATGCTGCAATCAAATGTGTGGAAGAGCAGCTCTTCTTGGGATTACTTACTCTGAGGTAAGAACTGAGCTAGCTTTTGAATAGTAATAGTTTGAGAAAGAAATCTGCAAACAGAACTAAAGGAAAAAGGTCAAGAGATCTATTGATCATCAAGTGTTACATTTTGCAAGTTTGAGGTTAGATTATGCAATTCTGTGTAAAAGGGGGAAGCATGTAATAAGTGTTGCATTAGATGAAAGTATCACAGAATGCTGCACCAGTTAATTGTGTACACTAAATCTGAGGAAGGCAAACATAAGTAAATGCAAATGTGGAAGGAAAATATAAACAGGAGAAGATGTGACCACAGCTTGATCATCAGCTTGGATGACATACCTTCTGGAAACAAGCATGTTGATTTGACAGACTTTGTTCTGTTCTGGAATAGACTTGCATCCTTATGGTTGTGGTGACATTTTTGGCTCCTTCAGCTTTGTTAAAGTGAAGTACCTGCGGTGGGAAAATCAGTAATTAATGCAACAACAGAAAATCTGCTGTTTCAGTGAAATTTTTAGCGTTCTCAGGGGGACTGGTAATGAGGACAGTCAAGCTCAAATTTTATTCTTCTGTCCAGTCCTTGGTGAATATGGAATCTTTGTCTAGGTCTCAATGTCCATTTTTACAAAATGGTTTATGCAAACTAATCTGAGGGCTCCGGGGTGAAACTCTTACATTCCTGGCCTTTATTGAAGAATCTGCCTGATTTGAGTTATGCCCTGGCATGACCAGTTAATGCCTGGGAAGAGCCAATTACCCCCAGATGGAGTCTACCAAAGGAGAAGTCTAAATAGAGCTGTGCTATGTGTCAGAAAGCCTGAAAACTGTGCAGGCAGTTCCATGCCTTAAATCCCTTTCTCTGGGCATGTTCACCGTACCCAGGCTACAAAGGGGTGCAAACAACCTTAGAACACTTTTGAAAAGAGCTGTGCTTTTTGTTCTGTTTTGTTTTCCCTTCATCCTAATAGATCACTCCTTTTATACCCTACTGGGTCTCTTTTGTCCTGTAAATCAGGAGTTAGATCACCGCCTTAGCAGGTGGGACAGCTTCTGCCTTAGCAGATGCAAACTCACAAGCCTCCCCTCCTCCAGCAGGAGCTAGGTACCTGCATTAGGTGTTTGGCAATCAGGCATTGGGGCTGTTCTCACTGCCCCCCATGACACCATGATATTTAAACAAGTGTGACTCGGCAATTTCAGTCAGTAATTTTGCCTCTAAAATAAGAAAGAGTTGTAGTTTCAGCATGGTTTTTCTCTAATCTTGTAGATGTGGATTTTTGTTTAGCAAAGTGTAAAACTTGAAATAACTATAGGAGAGAGTCCTCAAAACTCTGCACATATTATGGCTTTCCTCTGTTCCATTAAAGCAAATTTCTGGCATGGAAGACATTGCTCCAAGAGATCAACCCTTTCAGACAACTACTTTTTGAAGCCCAGACTCACCTTTGCCATCTGATCTGCAGTGTTACCTTTGGCTCCCAAATAAACAGTAGCCAGGGCAGATGAAATACTCCAAGGAGAGAACAAAATATTCTTATTACCATCTTCCTGACATTGTTGTTTGAAAAAGTCAAGAGCAAAGCTTGTGTTTGCTTTATTCAATATATCCATTGTCCTGAAGCTGCACAGAAAGACAGGAAAGAAGGATTTTTTTGGATTAATGAACCACTAACTATGATTGCTATTTGCTTAGAAGTTCCACTTCACTGTTGAACATTTTTTGGGATTTAAAGGCTTTCTAAAATTGCCTATATAAAGAATGAGGAACATTAACTATAAAGTCACAAAAAGTTTAGCATGTCCTGTTTCACTAATGGCAACAGCTATCATTTTCAGGGATGAACCAGCCTCCAGCTGTGTTTCATATTTGTTCACCAGGAAATTTATTGCACTGCCCTTTACAGCATCTTGGACTGACAGTTGATAGCTTTACTCAGAAAAGCCTGGGCTAGTGACCACCGATAAACTGTCTCTTATGACAAATTTTATGCTTCAATTTGTTCAACAGCCTTTTGATGCTCATCTCTGTAGAGAACAAATACTCTGGTAACAGGAGCAGTCAAACTATTTCTTTAGGTCAAGACAAAATGCTCTTTCCTATACTTGCGCAAGCACTACCCCAACTATTGCATGCTAAGCATCCTGAATTACCTTTCTGACTTTTAAAAATGTCCTGAAACCCTGTCTTACAGCACTAGTCCAGATCCTAGCTTCCCAGTTCTTCTGCAATACAAACTTTCTATATTCAGCAAACCACAAAGGCTGCTATTTGTCATTTGCCTTGCAGGTTTAGCTGAGGGTTCTATTCAGGTACTAAGAGCTATTTTGGTTGGTATAGGATGGCCTTAGAATAAAAGATACTTTGTGACCCTAGTAGCATGCAAACCAGGACCTAAACTGATAATTCTAAGCACTAAAGAATACAAGAACAAATTACTTGACTTAAACAAACACAATGGTTCTTAGTGTGCTGAGTTAGCACATAACTCTCAATATGTTAGTCAGTGAACTCTAGAAATTATAGGACTCTGAACAATAAGTTGCTCTTCCTGTATATTTTTAAGACTTCATCTTCTAGGCTATTGCCTGTGCAATCTTAATTACTTTCCCAAGCATTAGTTGTTTCCAGTTCAGATACCTGCTTTTTTCCTACGCATTTGTCAACAAAGCAACATCAGCCAAGAACAAGTGAAAGAAATAGTATCTAGAAATCATTACAGTACCTTGTTTTGTGCAGGGAGAAACACTGCTGCTCTGGGTGTCTCCAAGGTTTCTGCAGTTCACATGAAGGGTAGGATGAATTTATAGTGTGCCTGGCCGGTTCTGCAAAGGTTCTTATGAGTCATGACTCTGCAATGTAATATGCCCAATGGGCCACATCCCTGTGGAAGAACTGAATCACCTCAGAGTAGGATGTGATGGTAAGAATGATACCATACAAGAATTTTACAAAAGTGACTGCTTAAGTATTTCTATAAACACTTTTGTGGCAACAGGCTAGTAACAACTTGAACCCACACTACTTTGAACAATCTTTCCTTTGTGGTTTGGAGAGTTTAAAAAAAGGTAGTCACTGACCTACTTCTTTTATGGTTTGTCTTACAGAATTTATCTCTGGGAAACAGACAGACAGAAAAAAAGAAAGTGACTTCTCATGTGTGAGTTTTTCTATTGCCCACTTCCTTCTGAGAAAGTATTTGTCATTCCTGGTGGGTTTCTGTTTTGGAAAAATGGGTCTTGTTAATCTTGAAGGATTCTAAGACTGTACAGTCAGGGAAACTCTGTAACTCTGAGATGGGGAAGGTCAAGAGACAGGCACCAGACGCCTGCTTGTATTAGCAGTGGACAAAATCACTCAAAGTTAGTGTGGGTCTTAGATTAGGCTTCATTTCTACTTCCCCACCCAGTCTGGAAGCTGTCTGACCCATGTAGCATGTCAGAGATCTATTCCTTACATTCCATTCCAGAGATGAATATTCTGTCAAATCCTCTATTTCTTCTTTCCTGGGCTTCTAAAATACCTCCTTCCCTAATTTTCCTTGCAATCATTCTGTCCCTTCTTCTGTAGTCCTTCCTTTATCTGTCTGTACCACTCTGACTCCTAACTGAAACACCCTTTAAAATGTTACCTTGACCTTTATTTAATTTATTCTCTCTGCACTGTCGATACCTCTGCTTTGAAAACCTGAGTATGAATTGGATACCTCCCCAGCACTGAGCTGGACTCTCACAAGGTCTGTTTCCTCAGCATAAACTGCCTTTGGACAGCTTTCTTCTGACCTGCTGTCCGTGAGCATACATTTAACATGGACTTACGTTGTAGGGCAGAGGTTTGCATGAAGGATCTCATAATGAGGAATGAACGATGAAAATACCTGCAGAATTTGGCGCAGGGCATAGCTGCAAAGGATCCCTTGACAATGGTGAAACTTCAGTATCAAATGTAAGTTGGGAATCGAAAGCTTTGCTAAAGTTGCTTCCCTACCTGTGAGGAACCACATTACTTCAATTGGATGGTGTTTTCCTGCCCCTCAGGTATTTGAAAATGGTAGCTATGCAAAAGGGGCATGTTTCAGTGTGAGTTGTAATTAGATGTATCTGTTATGTTTTCCAGAGAGCAGCATAATGTAGGAGAGGTATTCAGATATAATTGCTCCCATAGCATCTGGGAAAGTTGTAATCTGTTTACATTAGCCTTAAATGGTTTCCGAAGCATAAATGATTTGAATAATCTTTGCAAATTTAGCCCTGTTGTTGAAGAGTGATAGATACGGTGAAAAGACTTCATCCCCTAGAGCAATTGGTGTGGATTTTCTGGTTATAAAGCAGGGGTAAACTTAATTTGCTAACTAGTGCTACTGCTTGCTGCCTTCCAAGAAGTGACTGAGGTGTTCTGTTTACACAGAAATGCTGGGTTAGGCTGAAAGAGAGGTTTGTGCTTTTGCACAAGGTTTTACAGCTACCTTTTTAGAGCACCTCTCAAATGTCAGGGCTGGTAGTTAGGAAATAAAAATAAGAAAAACATGCTGAGTAACTAAAATTATATTCATCTCAGAAGGAAAAATATACTTTATCAGTGTGGTGGGTTGATAATATTCTCTAATACCCTTTTAAATTAGCATCACTGGAGGACACAACTTGCTGCATGGTGCTACTGCTGACTCAGTAGCAGTGGTACTCCCACTCCTTACTAAGTCAATACAGCAGCACATTAGGAGACTTATATTTGTGTTAATGGTGTCCTTCCTGTGGGAAGTAAACTTGTGATCCCTTTCACTGCAGTCATTCATGTTTCCATTTGGTTAGGACAAATATTGGCAGGATACCAGTGCCCTGGCCAGCTATGTAAAGGCATTTTGTTTTCCTCCAGTTTCAGTCTAACTTTGCACACGTCATTTTGACTACACAGTGTGTTGCTCTGTTCATTAGTGCCTGGATTCAGGAGTCAATGATATGTTTGATATCTGAATGGAACATTATCGAGTGCCCTATGAAATTTCTTCAGAGTCTTGAGAAAAAGACTTGCTGTCACAGAAAAGTGGTAGCTTCTGCTCTCACACAGTATTCTTAGGCTATAACTTTCCATGGCTGGTTTTCATACCCATTGGTAGCTTATTTTCACTATCAATTCTGTATAGGTCTTGGAAGTCTGATTAATTCACAACAAACGTGTTCTATGTTTCAGGTAGATCAAAAGAAAAATTGGTGTTTAAAGTAAAGCTCTTCAGTTTCCCTGACATCCTCAAGTATTTTTTACAAGTACAAGCACTGTTTATTTACTTGGCAGGGAAGAATTTCTGATTCACCCAGCAGAGCACACACAACAGCACTCTATTCAAGTTTTTGACTCAGCTGGATTTGGCCCATAGATTTTAAACATGAAAGGATTTTAAATACCCCCAAACCTTTAAAAGGACTTTACAAGATACAAGAAGCATGGGGAGGAGAAGAGTTTTGAAATACGACAATATTTTAATCCCTTTGTAGGTGTGATGTGGGTTTTTTTGGTTTTGTTTTAAATCTCTGTGTGATTTAAATGTAAAAAACTGTAAAGAGGACAGGGGCACAGAAAATGAGAAAATAGTAAGAGTGATAAGTGCTCTACTCTGTATTCGTGTGGCCTCACCTTGAATACTGTGTGCAGTTTTGGGCACCACAATATAGAAAAGACATTAAGCTATTAGCGAGTGTCCAAAGGAGGGCCATGAGGATGGGAGGGGTCTGGAGGGGAAACCGCACAAGGAGCAGCTGAGGTCACTTGTTCTGTTCAGCCTGAAGAAGAGGAGACTCAGGGTAGACCTCATTGTGGTCTTTATCATCCTTGTGAGGGGAAATGGAGGTGCAAGTACTGATCTCTTCACTTTCATGACCAGTGGCAGGACTTGAGGAAACAGCATGAAGTTGAGTCAGGGTAGGTTTAGTCTGGATATCAGGAAAAGGTTCTTCACCCACAGGGTGGTTGGGCACTGGAACCCCAGGGAAGTGGTCACAGCACTGAGCCTGTTTGATTTCAAAGAGCATTTTGACAACACTTGCAGGGCACATTGTGTAGCTCTTGGGGTGTCCTGTGCAGGGCCAGGAGTTAGGCCCAATGATCCTCATGGGTCTCTTCTAAATCAGCATATTATTCTATGACTAGAAACATAACATCTTTTGTGCTAAGGAGGGCTCTTTCCTGGTGATGACTCTGTCATAGTGTAACTGTGAGCATGGCATGAGCTGTACCTAACACTGTCAACTGAAAAAAAACCTATATGCATCACCTAGACTGATTATAACAGATTTTGGGCTGTATTGTAAAGGAATTTTTTGTATAATGATAAGTTGTTATCAGCCTGAAATCTCAAATAGTTTTGAAGTTAAAGAGATATTAATTCTTTGAGTATCATTTTTCCATTTAAAGCTTTGGTCTATAATACACGTGTCTTTATTTTGAAACAGAGAAGATAGTGATCTGTTGTGCACCACCTACAAGTAAACTTGCAAGCCTCCCCTTGCCAAGTAATCCTTGCTGACATACTCTAACACTATGTAAAACCTTATGAGTTCCCAAAGGGTGTGGTGAGGTTCCTGTATAAATATTATTGAAGCATTTTGTTCCACACCTGCAGAGGCAAAGGTGTGGTAAAATTTGACAGTCCCAGCAGAATTCCTCTTACTTTAGTATTACTTCTACATGCTTTGGCTTAGGCACTGTAATTAATAAAGGCAGTGTTTGTCCTGAGAAATTCTGCCCTGGTAAGAAGAGCATCACTTCTGATAAAGGAGTGATCTGTATATCTGAAAAGGGACAGTTTATCTATGAGTGAATATGCATACTGTTTCCACATGTGCAAGGGTGCAGTTTTCCTTTGAATGACTCAGATAGAGAGCATTTTAAAAGTATCACAAGTCACAGATGACATCAAAAATATGAAGAGTGGCATGAACTTCTCCGCCATGATACACAGTTCTGCATTATGAATAATGAAGTATGTTTGACTTGTATGTCCTTTGGCTGAAACCTGTCATTTTTCCAAAGAAATCTCACAAAGGGTGAAACTGTAAATCAGCTGCACAACTGTGAATCAGAAAGCTGATCCCATCTTCCCCTTCCAGTGCTATAGTGGCTATAGTGTGCCACATTATGGGGTGAAGAATGTGAATAGCAAGTCAGTGTATCCTCAACACACGTTTTTAAACAAGTGCCCACCCTAAACAGGAGCCTTGTGCTGATGTCGCAGAGCAGAATATAGAGGAAAGACTCTCTTTTAAGAAACCCAGTTAAAGATTTTCTCTGTTTTCATACAGTTTGATTGCAAATATTCTTGCTTGGTGGAATGACCAGGAGTTTCCCAAAGCAGTTGGTGTTTTCAGAAGTTTTGTCAGGAGAATTTTTCCAATACTCACTTGAGGAGGTGTAAAGAAAATCTCTGCTGTTCACTGATCTGGTACTTCTTCATCACTTAATGCTTTTTAAGCTAACCTTGGAACTGATCTGAACTACCTGGATAAGTGCACATACAGCAGCAGTAATGCATTGCTCTGGAAGAGGGAAACCCCAAAAATGAGAGCTTGGAGTGGAATTTTCCCTCTGGATTGACAAGGACCTCAGCTAAGCTGTAGTGTCATAAGCATCACTTGAACATGTGTCATCAATGCCTTTTCCATTGCATCTTTCCATCTCTCACATTCCTTGCCTGTTGCACAAAGGATCTAAATCTCTTGAGACCTGGCATCCTTTGCGTGGTTCAAATTAGCAAGCTTTTCACAACCAAGGAGGAATTAATGACCTGATACACAACAAGTAATACAAGATGATCTCATGTCCATTTCTGCTCTCAGGTAAAATAAGATGGAAAGTTTTCATTTTGTTCCTCAAACTTTTGTGAGTGGCAAAAGTGTGAACTTGAAAGTTATTGCACTGAGGACCTTCTTTTGAACTATGCTGATGACCATCTGCTCTTTACCAAAGCATTTCCAAACTCTTTTGATTCAGCTGTAAGGAGATCTTCATGGCTCTATTATCTTTTGTAGTGATATCTGTGGCTGTTTTAACTCTTTGAAAGCCAAAAGCAGAACTTTTGTGTAGCTTAAAACTAGTGCAGTGTCCCTTTCAGCTGCTTTAGACTTTTCTTTCTTCTTGGTGTATCTCCCTTCTTTTTCTAGATCTTTGGCTACATCTTCCTAAATATCCTTTATCTTTTTTAATATCCCTTGCTTCTGTGGTTGCTAATTCCTTGTCTGGGAACATAGATAGACAACACATTGTTCACAAACTATTTGAATTCAGTGGAACAGAGGCAGCATCAGGCTAAGGAAAGTTACCAGAGGATGTGTAAGGAAAGGCAGAGCAATGGCTCTCTGTTTGTGGCTGGAGGAAGGGGCTCTCCCCCCACCTCCTAAAGATGCAGCTTGGCCTCTGTAGCTGACACAGTGTAATTTCATAGAGGATGGTCCCTACAGGCAGTAGGAGGGGTAAACTGTCCTCCCACTTTCTTCCTCTCCCTGACATTTCTCCTCTTAGAATCAAGCCTTGACTCCAGCACTACCCTCTTCCCTCACTGCCCACAGAAGTAGAGATTGCTGGAGGGCAAGGAGGAAAAAGGAGGGCATGGTAAGGGTGGGGATAATCAGCACCTTGGGGAAAGATAGTTAATGAACCACATCCAAGGGAAATGAGGCAGAATGAAAGAGAAAAGAGGGAAGAGGAAAGAGGAACTGCTCTGCACACAGCCCTGTGTAGTTCAATGATTCCTCCTCTGCCCCTTTTGATCTGTAATTCCGTTCCTTATAAAAACACATCTGCCATCTCACTATTCTCCCACTCCTTATTGGCTTCTTATCAGACCCACAAAACTGGAATTTTACCTGTGTGACTAAGAAGCCAGCCTTTCTTGTAAGGATTTTCTCACCTCTAGGAACCTCTTCCTGTCCTCTGAAGGTGCCACTAATAGAAATTGATTGTTTGCCTTCTGTGGGATGCTATTGCTAGCATATAGAAAAAGTAGGAAAGTGATGAATGAGTTAAAGAAATAAGAGCACAAAATTAGTTTGGATTTTTCTTTTGTTTTGTTGTGTTTTCTGGGAGTAGAATGCAATTTGAGACTGTTCCTTTTACAAGACAATTGGACTACATGGTATTAAACTCTTGTGATGTTCAATACTGTAGCAGTGAGGAAATAGAGGCCAGGTGCAAGCAATATCCCAGTGATATTCCCATATAATAAAATGTAGATCAAGTATAAATTATGCTTCTGGACTAAAACATGTGTAGCATGTTCTGTTATCTGTGATCTGTTATCACTTTTATTTCTAAGTATTGTCAGCCATCCTAAAAATTTCCTGTTCACATGGTTGATTAAATACTCCTTGGGATTTTCAGAGGTATTCTGCATTGGCTCCAAGAGGTTTAAAAGTAAGGGAAAACAGTGAGAGTTTTGTGGACTGGGCATGGGAGAATCAAAATGAAGGAACTGGTGTGGCTCATTCTCACATGTGGCCAACTCTCATTTGTTGAGAGAAAGCTAAGCTGGCTAGATAGTCTACATTACTTCTACATATTTGGATTTACATTTAGAATTAAATTAGTCCTAATACTGTGGATTCTCTAAATTTAAAGATATGCATCATTTGGCTGCAAAGGGCCCTGCTGTGTTTCTGAAGTTAAGACCAGATGACTGTCAGCTGCTCATTCCAACACAAGTTATTCTCCAATGCTGTGAAGTTCAGGAGACCAATTCTTGCAAATAACTGACTTTGTTCAACCAAGCAATATTACTTGCATTTTTAGGTATTAGAACAGTTAGTACTGGAATAAACAATAAGGCCTCAGGGTCAAATTCTGTCATCTATAAGGAATTACCTTCCCATTATAAGACCACAAGAAAGCAAGCAAGTGTGGTCTTGTATAGGCACAACTCATTAATCCTTTGAATTAATTTTGTCTCTTTACATGGTTGAAATTACAAATATATGTGGGGTGTGGTGGTAAAGCAATAAAAGCCTCTAATGACAGATCCTGAAGCTGTGAGTATGAGCCTTCTTCCATACTTGTGCTGAAAGACATTCTGTGGGCAAACAAGAGCATAATCCACCTGTACTTCATGACACAGCAGAAAGCTGAAGTCTCTAGGACATGATGCTAACTTTTTTGCTTCTTTGAGGATGGTGAGAAGAAGCTGTAGCCTCATTTGTTGGCACAAAGGAGAGGATTTGTTCTGCGCTGAGTGGTGGAGGTTTGATATCTGGCATCTAGCTTGGGGCTAGATCCAGGCTTGTTCCTCTAGGGTCCTGTACTTTGGGAGCCTGTTATTACAGAAGTTACAGTATCTCAAATGTAGAAGGCTATTGAAACTTTTAACATTCAAACAAATATTTCTCTGTCTGGGATCTGAGAACTCCAGCATCCATTCCTTAATGGAGGTATGATCTGCCAAACTCCAAAATGGTTTCTGAAAACAGGACTGGGAATGCATGGGATTTTTTTTCTTTTAAGGAAGTGACTACTGAGGACAAGAATATGACTGCTTGTTGTTGTGCTGGCAGCAGAAGTCAACAGAAATCAGGAAGTAGCACTGAAAATATCTGTCTATATGCAGAAGCAGATGTTCTCTTTGTATCTTCTGTGTGTGAAGTATGCTTTAATTGATAAAAACTAAACCAGCCTGGAAATATTGCAGTTTTAGAACAAATCTGCTGAAATTTAAGCGTCCATAGGAATTTAGGTGCCCTATTTCCATGACCAGATCAACAGAAACTCTGGGACCATAGTAAACACACTGTTAGCTCTCTTGCAATAAATTTCCCCATTTGTTATCTCTTGATCAGCAATCAGCCAAGATAAAAGAAAGTGAAGGAATACATTTGAATTATTTACATACCAGTGAAGGTGGTGTCATGTTATCTTTGTTCTTTTGCAAGATCATGTTTGCTATCAGCAAGTCGTGTCCCCTGGGTCCTGCCAAAGTATGTGTTATTTTGGAGGATGGACCAGGGGAAGCCAAAACAAGTAGAACAAGCAAATACTGTGTGGTGGAACTGAAAAAAACATTCCACTATAATCCTTCCTGCATGGTAGCTATGCTATACCTACTGGAATCAGGAAAGAGCATAGCCTTCTTGCAGTAACTGCACTCCCCAAAATTTTTCTGTTTCACTTTCCTGGTGCTTCTTTGTGACAGTTCCTCACAATTATGTTTCCTTCCTTCAGTGACAAAGAGGTGAAAAATTAATTCCAGAGAAAAGCTGTAACTCACCATAGACATCCCATCTCCTAGCATGATTATTAGCTTCTGAGTAAAAGCCCATAAAGCTTTGTGAACACACCACAAAGATAAGTAAAAAACTTTCCATTTTCCATTCCCCTGTGTTCTCTGCGGCAATGCTGTGTCTCAGTGACATGTAGATTCTGCACATATCCAGCTGCCTTCCAGACTGCTTATCAGCTGCTGTTTCAGAGAAACTGGATGAATCATGTTTTGTGCAGCAATTATTATATCTGACTAGTTTGAGTGGAGGGAGTATGGGTCACACAGGTCCCTTCCTGGCAGTCTATCTTAGCCCTTAGAATTATGAGAGACTCAATCCTCACCTCTCTGAAATCAATGAACCAACTCAAACAGAAAAATCACAGGAATATAGAATATTTCAAGTTGGAAGGGACTCATAAGGATCATTAAGTCCAACTCCCTGCTCCTCACAGAACTATCTATAAATAAACCATATGACTAAGAGCATTGTCCTGATGCTCCTTGCACTCTAACAGGCATGGCATTATGACCACTTCCCTGGGAAAGCCTGTTCCAGTGACCAACCCTCTGGATGAAGTAACTTTTCCTGATGTCCAATCCTGATACATACCGTTTCCTCATGCCCTTGCTAGTTACCAGACAGAGAACAGCACCTCCACCTCCCCTGCCCCCACTGAGGAAGTTGTAGGCTGAGATGAGATCACCCCTCAGCCTTCTCTCCTCCAAGCTGAACAAGCCGAGTGACCTCAGACACTCTTTGTAACTTTTGACCTTGAGAGCTTTCACCATTTCAGTCCCTCTCTTCTGCACACACTCTTAGAGTGTGATATTCTTCTTACATTGTGGTACCCAGAACTGCCCCCAGCACTGGAGGTGAGGCTGCCCCAGCTCAGAGCAGAGCAGGACAATCCCCTCCCTTGCCCAGCTGGCCATGCTGTGCCCCCAGGACAGGGTTGGTCTTTCTGGCTGCCAATGCACTGCTGACTCGTGTTCAACTTGCTATCCACCCAAAGCCCCAGATTTGTACACGTAACTAGGATTACCCTGTCCCAGGTGCGTTTAAAATACTCCAAATGAAAAGCATTTGCTTAAGTAAGTTTTTATTATGATTAAAGGAGCAAAAGTATACATCCACAAGACCCATTATATACAGGGATAGGTTACATAGAGAAAATTTGAATAGCAACCTGCCATGCTTGGTCATGATGATTGATCCAAAAAGGCTTGAGAAGAAATACGAATTATAAGATTCCTATAATGCATCTTTAGAAAGTGAGGAAGAGTCTTGCAGTATCAGGGGTAGGAATAAAAATCTATTGCATTGTCAGAGTAGGTATGGTTGGAAGTAGTTTAGAGCTTAGTCTAGGAAATTTTGAGTGACTTATTCCACAGGAGTCACCACAAAATTTGTCTGTAAAGAAACCTGGCTCACTTACAAGACAGCATTTTTTTCCCAAAACGAGTGATGTGTTTTTTCAGTGTGATGATTCAGCACTATTATTGTTAAATTGAACCAGGAACATCTCTGTTAATGCTCATGCTTTCTTTGGGTCAGATTTTCATTCCCTTAATTCTTCATCTATGAGTTAATAATAATACTCAGCAGAAAGGAAGGGCAAAAGGTCTCTGCTTTCCTGGCAAAATTTGTCTGCCTTAACCTCCTTTTCTTTTCTTTTTTTTATTTTTTTATTTTTTTAAATAAAGCCTTCTGGTTTTAGAAAATATGGATAAAAGAGAAAGTTTGTGTTTCTTTTTACCCTTGATACTGCAGCACTTTGCTTCTTGCTATGAGGGACAGAAACTCTTTCAGCTTTCCTCTCTTTAAGGGGAAAAGCATCTGCCAAAGAACAAGATGCTGTCACTTGGGTTGTGCTTGATCAAGAAGAGGAAAGGGTGGTCAGCCCTAATCTCTTCAGAGACACTTGTGTCATCTATCCCAGCTCCTGATGAGCGTACCACCTTACTGCCTGCTTCATAAATCTCCACAAATGCCTCATGGAATGCTCCAGACACCTTCAGGCTCTCTGCTGAAGAGATGCCAGAGAGATTGGCTGATGAGCTGAACAGGTCGGTGATACCCAAGGATTTTAAGACAGATGTGAGGTTATATTTCTCCTCGATCTTCATGCGGGGAAGATAGACTTTAATTTTCCTCTCCTCCATCTTACTAGAGCTGGTCCATTCCTTGAGATTTTCGGGGGTGATTGCGGTCTCAAGCTGCAAGGAAACAAACAAATTAGATCTCTGGGATGGGAGCACAACTTCTTTTGTAGAAATGCAGTACCATTTGAGTGGTTTTTTTCTTAAACTGATTGCTCTTGTTATGGTGTATTTTCTGGGTATATATGGATGAATGTGTCTAGAAAAGGAAAGCAAACCATGATTCTCTTCTCTGTCCTGCTTCCTATTTCTTTAATAAGCTCACTGCCAATTAATAGTCTTAATTAGATGGCTACTCAGCAAATTTCCCAAAACTTTTGACCTATTTATCTTCTTTTCTTCAGAAATGTATTTCAAAAGTCATTCTGTGCTTGAGTTGTAAACTCTATCTACATTTAAGACTTCCAGGTAAGTGTTAATGGTTTTACTAATACCTGAAGTATCCAGAGGCATTTGAACACAGCTAAATTTCTTCAGTAATAACTGATAGCTCATTTATTACTGAAGAAATTTATCTCATTTCAAATTACTCTTTATTTTTATAATTTTATATTTTATAATTTGAGTTACTGCACAATCATTTCAATTAACTCAGATTTATTGCATAACTCTTCATATTCAAATTGCATTCCTGCTAATGGCTATGTTATTTTCATATCAACAGTAATATGTCTTGTATGTTTTACTTTAATTAATTGCTTTAACCAGTCCAGTACTCATGTTCAATTTTTAGATAGTTTAATTTTTGAAGCTATGAAGGAAGCATGTTGAAGGCTGTTAAATCATTCAATAATTACAAATACTCAAGCTAACATGAACTTCCTGGTGAGTTCCTCAGTATGCAGAAATTGAGATACAAAACCTTTGGAGCTCAAGCTGCTGGAGTAACAGCTGTTTATCTGAGAAAAATCTGTTCTACAGTGACAAAAATTTAACCCGGTAAAGCAGCTGCTTAGCAATCCATCCTCAGCACAAACTTTAGAGACACACATAGAGACTTTAGAGCTTTAGAGCACAAACATAGGGACAGCTGTGTGCCTCTATGCAACAATCTCACGCTGCCAATATTCAGATCTGTGGTAGGGATGTGCTTTAAGATAACTTTAATGTGGAGAACTTCTTTGCACCTAAAATCCCACTGTGTTTATGATTTTCTGAAACCCAGCTGCCAGGGCCATACCTGCTCCAGGCCAGAGATGTCATCAGGCAACAGCACCCACAGGCTCAGCCGACCACTGGCATATGGAAGCTCCAGGATCCTACATTTCTCAGAAGGGATCTCTGCCACTTTAAATGTACCAGTCTGAGACATCATCTTCACAGGTTTGCTTTCTTGCTGCAAAGTCAAAGAGAATAATTTTTTTTCCCTAAGATTATTCCTAGAGTGTAGAATTGCCTATTTATGGTTAAAGCTGATAATTGCTCTTTTTCAGGAAGATTGTACAGCAACATGTCTACTCCCTTCATAAATTCTAGAAGATGACACCTTTAAAGTGATGTATGCTCACAAACCTCAGAAATTCTGAAAGGAACTGTCTGGGTATCTTCTTCCTTAAATGCTTTCTCCCACAGTCCTTTGAAGTAGATGGCACTGACCAGGATCATATCAGTTTGTGAACTCACGGAGCTTGGTTGAAGGATATTTTTGATGGACCCTTTCAAAATGCATAGGAAAAGAGAACATGTATGTATATAACATCTGCATGTAACACATCTTACTTGGCAATTACAACGTCAAATGGAGGGTAAAGAATTTGTGGGAAGGAGGGAGAAGGGCAAGGACATTGCTTTGGTTTTGTAGCTGTTATCTTGTAGTTCCAATGTTGATTTGCTTACTGCTGTTGGCAATGGCTGTTGTTTGTCTCCTTATGAAGAAATATAGTGAGAGATATATGATCCAGAGATTTACTTGGTTCAGAATTAGTATATTTTGTGACAACAGGAAAAAACATTGAAGCCTTTTATTCTAGGATGGTCTCCCAACCGAACATTTAATACTTTTTTGCTTCAAACAAAAGTTGAAACATTGGTGTAAAAAATTTATCAATGTGTAAAAAGCATATTTTAGTTCTGTCCCTTTTATTGGGACTGGAAGTATTACATATCTGTAAAGCCTTTGCAGATAGAGAGAGTCCTCTAAAGGGGGGGTGTGTGAGGGAAAAAAATAAATTTTAGATGATAGTTCTGTATCTGGGAACTGATCTACCATTCAGAAAAAGGAGCAGAGGGAGAGGTTTTGGTTTTTCATCACCTAATTTAAATGGTCTCACATGTTGTTCAAATGTGGTGGCAGAAGGGAAAATACCTGTGCTGATATTTGGCTTCCTCTTACCATTTGTCTGACTTTCAACCCAGGAATTTATGAGCTTTCTGGATTTTTCTGCAGCTGTTTGAAAGCTGATAGATTCCAAACCTCCCTTGTACAGTTCCTTCACACATTGTATGTATTCCTGCAAAGAAAGAGTATGCCATTTTCAGTTCAGAATGTCAAAGCATTTTGCAGATGTAAAATGCAAGAATTAAATTAACAAATATGAGAAATCTGCTTATTGAGGCTAATCAGTAAACCATGACCTAGTTCATAAGCATCTTAAGATTTGACATGCACTGTTTCAAGCAAGACTATATGCCCACATTTTTAAAAAATATTTTCCAGAACTGAGTTTAATTTAAAAACAACATTCATTTCAGTTAAGTATGGGTTTATTTTTCTCTTTGTGCACTTCAAATTTTTTTTTGCAATGGTATTCTCCTTGAATTTGAAATTAAGTGTTCCTTTCAGTGGAAAACCTTGGAATATTTTTGAGAACCTGAAGTTATTTTTCAGGTTTGTTTTGCAAGTTGAGAAGAGTTGGAGTTATCTCTTGCCAACAAAAATTACCTTTATTAACTATGCCTTGACTTGATTGGATTGTTATGGTACTTTGCACAGACATCTTTTTGGCTAGTTACATTTTTTCTCAAGAAGGATTAGGGCTGTGATAGAGAGAATCTTTCCATGTGGAAGAAAGTTTCTTTACCAGAGCCTAGACTTTTGACAGTGCTTTTGAATTATAGAAAGTTACAGTTTTGACATTCAGATCAGATCTTAAAGCAACTCACCTGCAGAATTGGGTATTTCTCTTCAGCATAAAGTCTGCTGGCAATGCTGATGGAATAATTGTCACTTGGTTTGGTGATTTGGGTGAAGATGTCCTTAAGTGAAGTGTGGATGCTCACAGATGTGCCGCACTGAGTGACATGAATACACATAAAATATACAGATGTCGTTATCCTAATTTTAATGATGAGTAGGCATTGCATACTATATGAAAGGAGTAGAGTAGTTCAGATGCTTCTGCTTACAAAACTGTTCATCCTATGCTGATACAGTATATGCAATTCAGTGCTGGTTTTCTACTTTTTCTACTGTAATTTCCTCATACCATTCTTGGGGGGGCTTTCAATTAACTGCTACAGTAATCTAGCTCCAGCAGATGAGTTTCCAACCAGTCTTGTTTAACCACTAGCATCAGCTACTTGGCCTAATCATACAAATACCTATAATTTCCCCCTATTGGCCCAATAATATGGTGATGGGTTTCATTTTATGCTTGCTCTGAATTCTCTGTTACCTGCCTTCTCCATTCTTTCTTATGAATGAAGTGTTCCCCCAAATGCTGGATGAGGAGCACTAGCTGCTCATTGGAGTAGGGTTGGAACTGCTATGAGACTGCTTTATCTGATAGATTTTGCTCCCAGGAGAAACTGGCATAGAGAAGGGATGAATTTTTTTCTGTACCTGAGATTCAGTGCTCTCTCCAAATCCTGGGATTTTATCAAGGTGGATAGCCTGTAATTAAGAATAACAGTAGTTGGAATAACTGGTATGACAAGAAAAAGGTTATGCAACTGAGATTAACACATAATGTTTTAAGGAAACCTGTTGACTAACTGAGAATTACTCAAAAAGTGCAATCTATCTGTGCCATCTCTGAATAGCCATGCCTACTGTTGCCTGCTTAGATAATCCTTTTTTCAATTGAACATCTAGAATTCAGCTCCATTGTGTGCTACCAATAATACCAACCTTCTTATAGGTAACAAGCCAGCCACTCTCTGTAAAGATAGTGAGAGCTGTAGGAAACACATGAAATGCTTTGCAGTCAGGGGATATGTTTTAGCTCTTTCCCTACAGATTTTTGTCTCCTTTCCCTACTCCAAAAGAAGGGTCACTAGAATGTATTTTTGTCTTTGAGAATTCTACTGCTAAACTATGATAAAATTTAAATCCGGTCTCAAGCTTTCAGGCTGATGCATTTGTTTAACCTTGGGAGTTTCAGGTGGCCACAGCTTTTGATAACCCTGGATCCATATTCTGGTAACTTGGGATCCACATTTTTTAGCCTCTGAGGGACATTATCATGTACTTGAGGGCTGTGGCTCTCTGGAGTAGCAGGAGGATTTAAATCCTAAATGTAGTCTCACCTTTTCTATCTGAGCCTTGGTGTTATCTTTTGCACCTATGTAGACCATGGAGAGGGTTGAAATGATGAGCAGAGGGGAGTAGCAGACATTCTCCTGGACATTCTGGCTTCTCAGCTCCCTGAATATGTCACTGCAAACTTCCGTGCTCACTGGACCGATGGAGCCCATTGTGCAGCAGTATTGCCTGGAGCAAAGAGCAGAAGCACAATAACAATGTCATGATGGGAACAGCATACACACACAGCACATGCACTTTAATACGAGTTTTCAGGCTATAAAGTATAAACAAGTAATTTGGAAATCATTCTGTGTTAACATGTCTATTGCTATACTCACCACTTGTGCATGTTAGAAACACTGTTTTCACAAATCTGTTTCCTTCTGCATTTCTACACATTTACCTTTTTGTAACAGCTCCTCAGAACTCTGGAATCTGTATGTGTTTTCTGTTTACCCTTTCAAAGCAGTCAGACAACAATTGTTTGTACTTATTTTCCTTCACTGAAGGCTACAATTCCTTAGTACTTTGTAGTAGCTTGATGAAAAAAAGAAAATATTATCTCTTTCATATACTTGCAAAGCTGGAAATTTAAATGCAAATTACATTTCCATTTGGTCTAGGTCTGGAGAGATATGGGTAAAAGCAGAGGTTAGCTATTTATATTTTCTAAAAATAAGTAGGTGTAGTAAAGTATCTATTTGTTGCACAGTACTTACTGTCAGTAGATCTTCAGAGGCCTGAAGCTTACCCTAGTAATGGGCAGGCAATTTAATTCATCAAAGTTCACCTAATCTAGGAGCAAGACTGATGCACAAAATTCATGTTTCATTGTATTGTGCTTTCAAAAATAGCTTGCTATGCTTAAATATGCTATGTTTTCTCAGACTATAACCTGTCTGAGAAATTAAATTGTTTTTCAAAATCCAGCCCCTTATGTAGGAGTTAAATGCTAGGATCTCAAGTTGCTCTTTGTAGTGTTCAAGTCTACCAAAGTGTTTTGTGACTGGCCTCTTGGATATACACATACAGACATACACATATTTCTCTCACTTTCCTTCCTGTGTACATCTTCCCATTTATAAGTTATTTAAAAATTGTACATCTCTCCACCCACGTACCTTTTTATGTTGTCTTTTGTTTACCAATTGTGTTTTTCAGGAATGCAACTCCTAAGGAAATTTCACACTAAATCAGCAAATTCACAGAACACCACAATTCAGCTCTCAATGCACTCTTTTGAACCAGAGGTCAAGCAAGAAAACTTATTACTTGTCTGTCAAAATCAATCTTAAAAAATACTGAATGGGAAGACAAAATGTTCTGACATAAAATCATGTTTTGAGCACAAATCCCAAAACCACAAATATTCAGATTTTGCACATAATAAGATAGCATAGAATGCATATACACTGGTGAGATTTGTAGAGGATAAAATGAAAATATTCTGCCCTGAAAAATATCAAACAAAAGACAATTTTTCTCTGTTTAAGTTTAGTCAGAAACAAGAAATAACTCAGTGAGAAGGTAAATTTTCATGGAGAAATGCTTACCTTCAAGCTTCAGCACCAAAGGCAAAACAGCTTTCCAGCTGTATGTGGGTATACTGGCTGAGCCCTTGGGAATTTATACAGTCTGAGTTGTGACCCACCCATTGCTGTCCTTCAGAAGTTTGACTTTTGACACCATAAAAATAAATTAATGGTATAAGGTCAGGTTTTTGTTTCAATGGGTTTGGGTTTGATTGAAGAGAGAACAAATATTAGTATTTTATTCTGAATAGCAGTGTTTTCCAGCAGTATATCAGGACCATTGGGCTGGAGAAAAGGCTGGGAAGTAATCCCTCATTTGCAACTAGATACTGGGATGTCAGTTTAAAAAAAAAAATGTGAAAACCCTACTGATGTCACACATAATTAGCAGTTATTAGTCAGTACATCAGTAATTAGTCAGTTTGTTACTATGGTTGTAGTAATAGACCAGAACTTTCTTTCTGTTAGTACTTTCTGAATGTTCGAAATGCAGCCATTCTAGACAGAAGGGAGGACAGGATTTAGCCTTTTATTCTTCTAAAAAAAATGGGGAAATAAAGTAGGGTTCATGTGACAAAACCAATAGAGATAAAAGTCAAAACCAGGAACATTTTCTTTGAGAAGCTGGAATACTTATAAAAGATCTTTCTATTAGTTAGGTTTTATCGCAATGTATTTTATTCTCAGGGGTCAACAGCGAGTCATAAAATTCTAAATAACATAAAAAACAGTTCCAAATATATTTCTGTATGGACTTGCCTTGTATCTCTCAGATCTTCCCTAAGTAAATTAATGGCCTGACAGATGATGGAGGCACTGTGAAATCCAACTAGAGGAGTGTTCATGGTCTGTGGGACACTTATAATACACAATAGCAAATATATTTCAGTTATAAATGCATTTCACTTATAAAAGCTATTGTTCTGTATTGAAATAATAGAATGGACAAACAGTTAAGAAACCATTCTGACCTCTGCAAAGCACTGTGTGATTACTAAAAGCATGGGGAGAAGGGGGGGAAGGCAGGAGGAGGATCCCAAAGTCTGTACCACATAATTCTTTAGAACACATGGGGCATAACTGTGATCTCTGTTAAGACTAGGCTCCTGTACTGCTGTCAAAAGCTTAGGCAGTGCAGTGTTCTTTGCCTCAGTCTGCTTCCTCTTGTGAAAATAAATGTGCCATGTAAATCTACATTCCCCTTGATGAGTTGCTATCTGTCCGTGTGTCGCTCAGGAGGTGAGGTGGGGTGGTAACATGGACATCAGGAGAGGTAGAAGTGCTTTCTGGTGCCAGGTAGTCAAAAGAAAATCTGACATATGATTAAGAGAGGTGGGAGGTGTGCCTGGACCCCAAGTCACAGGGCATGTATCACACATTGGTTTCCTGTTAAGCTTTGTGCCCACAAAATAATGATTATCAGTAATCCCTCTAAGATGATGATGAAAAAGCTGAAGTGGACATGCCAAAGTGGGTATATGCTAGCTATGCTGAGCTAGGAGGGGCTGTGAACTCCCTCAAGGTTCTTAGAAAGATACCTGCATAGGCAAGAGAGCTCAGCAATCACCAAATATAAGAAATTTAACAAGAGCAAGTGCAAGATGGAGTGATCCTCATTGCAAGTACAGATTGGGGATGAGAAGTTTAAAACAGTCCTGCATAAAGAGATCTGCAGGTTTGGGCTGATGGCAGGTTGAATCTGAGTCAACAGTGTGTCCTGGTAGCCAAAAGCACCAACCACATACTGGGGTGCATCAGGTTCAGCATCACCAGCTGCCTGAGGGAGGTGATTGACCCTGCCAGTGGCAGGGGGCATCTTTAGTGTCCCTTGAAACCCAAACTATGCTATTTTCCACTCTACTCTGCGCTGATGTGGCCTCACCTCGAGTCCTGTGTGCAGCTTTGGGCACCTCAGTGTAAGAAGGACATCACACTATAAGAGTGTGCACAGAGGAGAGTGACAAAGAGGACAGAGGAGAGTGAGAGGCCTCAAGGACAAGAATGGGAGGGTGAAGGGTGACCTCATCTCAGCCTACAACTTCCTCAATGGGTGCAGTGGAGGGGGAGGTATTTCTGTCCTCTCTCTGGTGAGCTGTGATGGGCCACAAGGAAATGGAATGAAGCTGCATCAAGGGAAGCTCAGATTGGACACTGTAAAAAGGTTCTTCATCCAGAGGATGGTCTGTCACACCCTGAAACAGGCTCCCCAGGGAAGTGGTCACAGCACCCAGTGTGTCAGAGTTCAGTGAGTGTCTGGACAATGCTCTTAGTCATATGGTTTATTTGTAGGTAGTCCTGCAAGGATCAGAGAGCTGAACTCAATGATCCTCATAGTTCCCTTCCAATTTGAGATACTCCATGATTCTTTGAACTTGTGTGTCTTCACTTAATGAGCTGTTTTCTCACATTGTTTATAGTACATCTCAGATTTATGCCACTATTTTCACTCTTTATTCCTTTTTTGTTCAGGGCCACTTTGTGTCTACAAGGGTTTAGTTCTGCTTCCACCACATTGGTCTTCCATTGCTGCATGTAAGAGTTGGTCAGTGCATTTACCTCAGTGAAATCTGTCTTTTAAATGTCCTCCAACACTCTCTGCTAAACAACCATGATTCCCATTCCCTTAGTCTGGTTGATCACTCATGAATTACAGAAGTGTCCAGACCTGTATCACAAGTCCAGCTCATCACATATGGCCTACATGATGAGGAATTTTAGGACCTACAAACATATTCAGGAAGAAACTGCACTTTCATTAGTGATCTTTTTTTTTTTTCACACCATCACAATGCAAGAATAGAAAAAAAATTATCCCAGTGTTTTTTTTATATCTGGTGAGACATAAAACTTGACTTCTGTGTAGTATCTGGTTCCAGATCTTCAGGGCAGCTTTGTATGCATTTAATATAGAGGCTTTTTCCATGAGTTATACAAAAAATCATATTTTCTCTCCAAGAATTGGTGTTTCAGGTTCAAAACACATCCACAATAAGCAAATATATGGAGGATAATAAACTCTGCTGTGATAATGTTTGATAAAGGCAGGCTGTGTTCTTTTATGAGGAGTCTGGTGTGGTTTTCTGTGCTCAGACTGGGAATTAATGCAAGGCCAGTTTTAAGCAACAGAATATACCCATGAGCAAATGAAGATCATAGCAGACCACCAGCATAGCATCAACACATGAAGGTCTCGTACAGTCTGCTTGACATGAAGTCTAGAGTAAGCAAACTTTCCTGCACTTGGAAGACTACCTGGGACAACTGACAATGGATTACCCTGTCCAGCACAGCTGTGCAAAGCAGTACAAACAGTTCAGTCACACATCCTTGTTTGACAATGCTTGTCCCAAGAAAGAGGTCAGCTAAGGCTCGGTTGCCCTTTCCTTTGCCAGGCATTTAATTGTGGAGCTGTCCCTAAACCAACAGACTCTTGAGTACCTGAGCTTTGGACAACTGACAATGTAAAAGGTACTTCTACAAAAGGATATGAAGTCCAGGTCAGCTCACAGAACAAAGCCTCTCATCCAATCACAAAAACCTGCCCAGAACTCAGGATTGTGTTCTGTTTTTGTTCCTGCTCTTTTGCCAATAGAAGGGAGCATATTAATTGTGTTTTGTTTGTCTGCATTCCACATTGTGACTCTAGATGTGGCTTTCAATCAGGGACAGAGGCAAGCATTCACAGAGAGATTTACTGATTGCAGCTGACTGTCTAGCTTGTTATTATTGCAAACCTAGATGCTGCAGCTATTGATGATGGTTTCTCTCTCCATTGTTCTGTGGTTCTGTTTTTTCCCCGGTACAAAGCAAATAAAGTATCTGATCAAGCTCCTTCAGACAGGTGCCCATAGCCCACCTTTCTGAAACAGCTGTATGCCACTGGAGATGTGCACTGTGGCCTGCAGTGCTTCCTTGATCCCTCACAGACTGTGACAGGACATTTGTCATTGCTCTAAATTGTCATTGCAATATCCTGTATGATGTCTTACATACCTTTATTCATTTCAACCTGACACAGGCTTAGACATCATTGTAGAAATGATGATTTCTTACTGCTCTCCCATGGATTTCTTACTGCTCCTCCTGACATAGGTTGATGTGACCTTCATGGCATAATTTTCAATGATCACATCCCCCAGGTTGGATAGGAGTCTTTGACTCAGAACTTGAAAAACATCCTCACTGTGGTTGAATGAGTTTTAGCCTCACATACATGCAAAGCCTTTGCCTTACTTCCATACGTGCCACATATCCTTCTGTGGAAGCAACATGTCTCTGATGGTAAAGGTGATTTCATTCTGTCCAAGACCAAATGCAAAAAGCAAGTGTACAGGAGCTGAAAGCAAGGAGAGTCCACCAGGCAGGAGTATAGAAACTTTCACCATGCATGCAGGGATGGAATCTGAAAAGCAAAAATTGTGCTGGAAGGAAAACTGACAAGGGATGTGAAGGATAGTAAGAAAAGTTTCTTTAGGTAGAACAGAAAAATGAAGACTAAAGAAAAGTCAGGAAGATTGGAGAAGATTCCTGATGGTTTGGAAAAGTGACTAGTTTTCAGAAAGAAAAAGGAGGAGAATTGAGGAGACTACAGGTCTCTGTGGTCACTGAAAAGAAGTGGTGCACTGCTGAAGGCACTAAAGATTAGTACTCATTATGATCTGTGTCAAGACACAGTCTCTAAGATACTGCTTAAAATACTATTTATTACATCTAACACTGAAAGGAAAAAGAGGATAATATATATAATTTTTATTGTCACTCACTACAACTACCTCAAAGGAGGTTCTAGCCAGGTGAGGCCTCTTCTCCCAGCTAACTAGCAATAGGACAAGAGGACACACTCTTAAGCTTCACCAGGGGAGATTTAGGTTTGACATTAGGAAGAAATTCTTCACAGAAAAGGTGATTGGACATTGGAATGGGCTGCCCAGGGAGGTGGTGGAGCCACCGTACCTGGAGGTGTTTAAGAAAAGACTGGTTATGTCTAGTGCCATAGTCTAGTTGACATGGTGGTCTTAGGCCATAGGTTGGACTTGATTACCTCAAAGGTCTTTTCCAATCTAGTTGATTCTGTGATATTCCCTTAGCTGCAGGGAACCCCAAACTGTGCAGCATTGGAAAGATCACCAGTCAAGGAATGGCATCCATGGAGATGGGTGCTCACTGACACTTTGGTCTTTAGAGCTCTGGCAGGAATTTTTAAAGAAGAAAACGATTAATTTCTTCTGAGAAACAAGTTCACATGAATACTTGCTGCTTCACTTCATGATAAATGCAAGGATTCAGGGGATGCGGTCACTCATGCCAAGTGGGAGCTATCTACAGGTTCCTCCCTTCTGACTTGCACGCAAAGTTCATGCTGCAGCCCAGGGCAATGTGCAGGACAGCACAGGATGGAGAGCCCACCTCCACATTCAGCAAGCTCAGGCCTTTGCCTTCTCCTGTCAAGTACCATGTGGGTCACTAACGCCCTGGCGTACAGTCGTATTCAAGCTCAAATCCCTGCGGAAGGCTTCCAAGCAAAGCCTCTCAGGAACATTTTGAGACACATGAAGGAATTAAAGATGATGGGGAAAACCAACACAGATTTACCAAGGACAAATCTCTCCTGAAAAACATCATTGGCATCTAGGATGTGACAGCTTGTATAAACAAAGGGAGAGCAGAGGATATTGTACACCTGACTTTAGTAAGGCCTTCAGGATGAACTCCCAGAATATCCTTGTAGTCACATTGGAAAGCTATAGGCTGAGTAAGCAGGCAATATTTTGGGTGGAAAATTGTCTCTACTGAGAGAAGCAATGGGAGCAGGGCTGCTCCATGAGGCCAGTGAGCTGGGCCAAGAGTCAGCCTCCAGAGAGGACAGTGCCCTCACTGTTGGGTGCCACACCACATTATCTGACCACAGGGAAGCAGAACCAAATGTCAGTAACAGGGTCCATCAACATCCGTGGACACACCAAGAGGAGAGCCAGGGCCATAATCTGTTTCCAGAACCTAGGGTTAGGGAGCAGTGAGAGCTGGTTGCTGCCTGTGGAATGGCTCAGTGACAAGGGCCCAGCCCCATAGCACCTGAGCAAGGGAAAGAGGACAGACCCTGCAAGGGTGACCGGTCCAACCAAGCCTTCAGAACATGAGGGAATATAAGTGACAGGGCATGTCCAAAACCAAGCTGGGGAGTCTCTCCACAAGTGAGGTCTGCAGTCAGATCCAGTGACTACCAGGCAGGACAGTAGTGACAGAGTAGGCTCAAGCTCAAGCCAGGAAATGAGTGCACAAGTTGGTCTCAAGGGGGCCTGACTCGATCTTCTCGAGTGTGACCCGGCTAGCTCAGTGATGAAGTCTCTCTTCACTCGAGTTTCGAGCCAGCATATGTTTGTGGGATTCACTGATTTTCTTCAAGAATCCAAGTCTATAGAGCGAGTAAAGAAATCAGGGGAGGACTCTCTCTCTGGTTTGCATTCCACAGTTTATTTCTGTGAAGGGGAATCCAAAGGACGAGAGACAAAGGATTTGGGGTCTGGGGGGTCTCTTTTAACAGGGTTTCTCAGAGGGAGGGAACATCAGAGAGAGAACCGATTATTTTTCTCAGTTAGTACATCTTACAAACTTTCTACAAATCAAGGTTATACACACACCAAGATAAGAAATAACAGACACCAACTTCTTCAAATGCCCACAAAGGTGTAGGAGTATTCTCCACAGAGGGGCAGGGGGGGAGAGAGGGGGGGCTTGGTTTCCTGGCAACACAAGGGGGGAAAGAAAGGGAAGGGAAGGTAAGCCTGCCCTCCCATCTTCCATAGCTCAGAGGCATTCTGGGACAGGAAAAACAGAGTTACAAACTTCCCTGTTGGAAAGAAGGGTTCTCTTCTCCCAAGCCCGTGCTTTCCTGGGCTAAAGAAACTTCAAGCAGCTGGAAATGCCAGCAGGGTCCTCTCTTTACTCTATCCGGCCTCTCGCCGTGGGGCTGAGGAGAGAAACTTCAGTAACCATGGTAACCTGGCGCCAGGTAACCATTAAGAATTAAGAAAAACAATTAAGAAAAAGAGAAGCTGGGGGGGAAATCACAACTAAAAGAGGGGAAAAGATATATTTCAAGCTATCAACTACAACAGGGGCCCATGGCCAAGCAGGACAGGACTGAGGGAAACAGAACAGCCCCTGATGTGAAGAGGCACATTGATGGCCTGGGGCTGGGGGGTAGCATGGGATCCTGGGCTCTGGGCAGGTGGGAGAGGTCCCAAGGAAGATCAAGGCCACTGAGGGCTTCTAGGGCCTTTAGGGCTTGGACCAGCAGCCTCCCCTCTGAGGTGAGCATGCCCTTGCTCCTTAGGGAGACTTGCACTCGAGAGGGACTCACTTCAGTGCCCCCGTGGCTGTAGGGTGTTAGGGGGCTGTTTTGGGGGACACAGGGCAGGGACAGGGGCAGTGGATAGGAAATGGACATGGCACAAGAGGTCAGGAACTGAGTGAGATGATCAGACCACCCCAACAGGCCCGAGGCCGGTCAGGAATAAGCCAGGAAGGATAGTCTGGCTGGGTGGAAGGAGGTTCACTCAGAAGTCTGGCTCTAAGTAATGAGTGGGTGCTTTGTGGAGATCAGGAAGGACAAGGACAAGGCTTGGCTCGGTATCGGTGCTCGGCAGAGGGCTCAGGGAGGACTGAGCTCACTGTCAGGAAGCAGCAAGGGCCAGCTTTTCCCAAGGAAAACCCAAGGAACAAACCAGGAGGTAAGGGGAATGCCACAGCTAGATGATGCCTCAGGGCTCAGCAGCTGAGCAGAGCAGGCCTGGAGATCGCAGGCAATCTGGATCATAAGGCAACGCCATGGCTATGAGGCAGGTACAGGACAACATTGACCACAAAGTCAATTCACACAGCAGAGGTAGGTCCAGGTCTGGTGATCACAAGGCAGGGCCAAGGTCACATTAGGAGTCCTTGGCCAGGAATGGGCACAGCTGTGTTTGAACTGGAGACTGACACACCACTGATGTAATACAGATGGGAACTGAAAGTCCAGCACTCACCTTAGAGCTCCTGGGGTCACAGGTGTGGGAGAGACTCCAGGTATGGCTGAGCAGGACTATTACAAATTTATTAGTGCACTCAGAGCTCTGTCATACACTTATGAGCAAAAGAGATGGGCCTGGAGACAAGGCTACAAGGCTTAGGACTGAGGTCTGTCAGGAGGTAGAACTGGAGACCGGAACCTGCAGTGTACTTCAGCACTATGTCTAGGCTGAAACAGGCTTCTCTTGGACAACAGCTGCAACTTGGGGAGTTTCATTTAATTTCTTGCTGATTGACATTAAATTTTTGTTGTTTATTTGGGAGCTGACAAAATCAATGTAACAAACTATGAAACAGACCTTTCATCCTGCTTCCTCACATTTCAATTCAATACAAAAGGTTTCTTATGCTTAGTAGTTTCAGCTTTCTTGTTACACTCAGTTGCACCAGTCCCTTTGGTGAAGCAGCAAGCAATGGAAGAGGTTGTGATTGGGGTATGACTGTTTATATCTTCCAGATGTTGCTGCTCACTTTTATCACTTTTATCCTGTGCTCTAGTCTGCTTCAGGAGCTGCAGTTCCACAGGGATGTCCTTGCTTCAGCATCAGTCACCAGCAGGCAGCAGTCCCTCTGGTGTATCACTGCCCTGGCATGAGCTGCCTGTGGCTGCAATGCCCCAGAAGTGACTCCCAAGAGTGTGCCTTTAGCTGTGCTCTTAATAATATCCCCTTCTTATTAACATCCCATGTCTTCTCTCGTTTGTTTCTCCAAACACATCTGTCACATGCCTCTGTCCACTCTCTGTTAATTACACTCGAGCAGAGGTACTGGATGCTCCCTCTGACTGGAATTTTGGTGTACAGTGAGTTTATTCATTACAAGGTCTGCTACAACTGGCCAAGGGCAGTTCATGTCCTTCTTTCACAAATGGTTCCATAGTGCCCGATACAGGCTCCAGACCCATCTGCAGAGGGTGTTGAAGAAATCTCCTGCTGAAGCTGGTAGTGCTTTCAGGGTCCTAACACTGGCTCTTGTCAGTCCTGGAACTTAAATACCTGATGGTATTTTCTATATATTTACTACCTCTCAATTGATTTATCTTCCATGTTTTTGGTTTTTTTTAGTTTCCCTTTAAAATCATGTGAAATTTTATCATTTTCTTCATTCTTTGACCATTAATTCCATCATTCAGCTGTTTGTTGTCAGCTACCTCTATGTGCTGGGGTTTTTAAACTGCTTTCTACTAACCTCTTTTAATACCATTAAGTTCCTGTGTCAGAAGATATACTGAATAGCCAACCCCTGACACTGCCTCCACAATACTCAGGACTTCAGAAACCTCTAGCCTTGAGATCATCCCTCTCATAAGAGTTTGACTGTGTGGGACATGCAAAGCAGCTTCCAAGCTGTGAATCAGGGCACTGTTTGTGGCAGAGCTGTGAGATGCCTCCATGGGGGTCTACATCCCTCTCACTCAAGAGAAGAATTTAAGTGGAGTCTCTTGACTGGTCCTGCTGGTTTGCATGCCTTTGCCTGGGCATGAACCTCAGCAAGATGGACACTGCAAGTGTTCATTTTGGACACTAGTAAGAAAATTATTAAAGTTTATTTTATTAGAAATTACATGAGAGGGGGGAAAGGAGAGAGCATAGACATTTTCATGTCCCTTCCAGTGGTCAGATCCCAAAGTGGTGCAGCATTGGATGGATCTTTATTGAGGGAACAGCACACTCTGCATATCCCATGAATGCAGATGTTCACTGGTGGTGTGATCTTTACACTTTTTTACATATGTTCTGTTTATCACTTCTACTGATGAAAGAAAGTATACTAACACAGAAAAATGTGGCTTCACTTCAAGATAAAGACAAGGATATGCCAGCAGCATTATCACAGGGTGCCAGTTTGGGACCATCTGTGAGGTCTTGCACTTCCTCTGGAGACAATGGTTAAAGCACATGCCTGCTAAATCTTGTGCCTTGAGCCATGGATTTGGTTTGCTTAAGAGACTGGAGCCCTCTCTCACAAGTCATTTATGGAGAGGCATATGGAATGATCTCAGAAATTTGTATTCCCCAAAGGGCAGGGAAGATATGTCACATCCAACCCTTCTTCAAATGACATGAGAAGGAAAGGCATACTCAGTTCACACAGCATTTCAAATGCTGCCCTGTGCATGTGTCTGATTTTGTTCCACAGACTGCTGGCAGTACTGTAAATCCAGAACAACATGGCATGAAGTGAAAATGGAGTGTAGTGAATGGACAGATGACACTTTATTGACATACCACTTCAGTGACACTGCCAGGGAGCAACAAGAACTGTAGGACAATACCTAGACTTTGAGGGAGCTGGGATTCATGTTATTAAATTCTTGCTGGACTTCACATCTGCGAAGCAGCAGGCAGTGTTTGCTCTCCACACAGCTGCTCTTCCCTCATCCCTTTGTAACACCCTCCACACTGGTCTTTTCAGAATTGCTTCCCATGGGAGCTGCAACAGCAACACTGACCAAGGCAGTGCCTTTGCAGCGGGTCCTGCCAGCCCGGACCAGCAACACACAAGGGCAGTACTGGGCCCAGCCCAGGGCTATGGATCTTATCCAACCTTGCTGAATCTGCACTTTTACCTCTGATTTTAGCCTCTTTTTGGAGGATGGTTTCTTTTTCATAAACAAAACAGCTCTATACATTCTATAATGTTTGACCATGATCTTTTTTCCAGGACACAGACATCTTAAAATGTCTCTGATTTTTCACCAAATAATATTTCTGTCTTTTTCTTCAAAAATGGCTAGGTTTCAAGCCCAGTGCCACCAGTCTACATTTTCACTGTATTGATCATAATTATCTGCTTGCAAAAAAATTAAGAACAAAATTGGAACCTACATTAAGCTTCCAAACATAGCTTTCAACAGCCTGTCAGAAGACTTGAGGCATCATTTTGTAACCCTAGTGACACCTAACGGCCTAATGTAAAATGAGCCAAATACTTGTTTCTCAGTGAGGACATTAGGTGGACCTCTCTCATATGTAGTTTTAAGAAACCATTTACCATTTCATTACCATTGATTTTCTCAATTTCTTTTCTTTAAAATAATCATCAAGCAAAGGAACAAATAAACAAGAGGATAGTTATTTTTTTATATTCGTGTTATATAATTCAATAAATATTAATTTCATTTTCACCTAGAAAGCACAGAGTAACAGATATGCTTGTTTCAGTTTAATAACAGATTTATAACTGTATAAAAAGTTGCAACCTCTGCCCCTTGGAACAGTATTTTATATATTCTGCCTTTTTTGTTTGTTTGTTTGTTTTTTGTTTGTTTGTTTTTTGTTTGTTTTAGTTGTAACAAAACTCTGTTTACTGCTTTAGGCTATAAGGGAAGCAGAACATGATATGCACAGTAAACCTTGAAACTGCATATATTAAAAGAAGTATTTTTTTGCTTGAATACTTGTGTTAACTGTGTCTAATCCCTTATAACTATCTTGGGAAGACCAGTATTTGCATCTCTCCCAAAGGCTTCACAGCAGCCAAAAAGATGTGTTTTCCTGTAGTCATCATTTCAAGTTATATTTAATACTGACTTCAAAAATGTTTGAGATAGCTCCAAATACTGCCAAGTGTTTCCCTCTTTTAAGCACTTTTAAAGTACTGTCATTTGCAGCTCTGCACGTGTATGCCAGCAGAAGGAAGATTGCTTAAGTAAGTGATTAACACTAATAAGTCTTTCAGTTGAATAAATTGGAACCTGAAGAACCTTCCCCCTGAAGACTCTGAAATAAAAATAATGTCTCTAGGGGATTATGTTATCAAAAGTCAGTAACAAAGATTTCCTTGTGTGGTTCTTGTGGGTATTAGACAGCTGAAGTAGTCCACCTTTTAAGAAACATACTTTTCTCATGTTTTTCAAGCTGTATCTCTTAGACATTTCCTCAATGTATTTACTGACAATAATTAGCGGAAATCTTTTAAAACTATCTGGAAATACGATAGCAGGTTAAAATAAACTGAGTTATTTGATATGTCATATCTCCATATGAGCACAAGGTAAAAAGAGGAGCTGTAGGGTTTACCTTGCTTAAACTCAGAATCTTAGGAAAAAAAAGTTAGGCTCTTTAATGACTTCATATATAGGTACATTTTGGTTTTGAAAGTAGAATCTAAATCCTAGTCTAAACCCCTTCACAACCATTACCCATATTTTGGTTGTGTGGCACTGTAAACCAAAACAGGTAGAGACATGTTTAGTTTGCAATGCTTTTATTAGAATAAATAGAAGGACCAACAACTGCCATTCACAAGTCAATGACATGTGCCAGGAATGAAGATGGGAAACGGTCAGGAAGGTGGTGTGTTTGGAGATGATGATTTAAGAAGAAATGGTAAACTTTCTGTATGCCCCCTCAAAACAAGAGACCTTAGTCTTAAAGTATGTGCATCACAAAGAAACACAAATGCAATACTCAAAGAAGAATGATTTGCTAAAATTAAGAATTTTGTCTGCAAGTTGTCCAGGAATCAATTCAAGGATGGTTGCCCAAGGAGTTCAACAGAAAGGAACAGGATTATTCTAAAAGCTGTGTTTATTTCAGAGAACTCCTATAGAAAAAACAGACTCAATATCAGTGTCAGAATCTCTCACAAGAATCAAAACACTGGTCCTGAGTCTTAAGTTATTCAATCACGAGGGAAAATATTTCTAAGCTACCTCTTATAAGTTCTCATTTATTCCTGGATATAAGTCCTAAGTACAACTTGTGTAACAGAAATATCTGCACCCAAAGATCTGAAAAGTCACACACTTCTTCAGGAATATCTCTCTAGGTGTTGACGGCTTTCCACTTAGAGATAGTGAAGAGATGATATTATACTAGAGTAAAGCAGGTCTGTTTCTTAGGGATAGGCAAGCATTATTTCCAGCCCTTTTTCTCCTTAGGGAGAACAATATCTACCAAAGAGGATGATCATGTCACTTGGATTGTGTTTGATCAAGAAAAGGAATGGGTGGTCAGCCCTGAACTCTTCAACCTCGGAGGACTGTTGGATCTCTCCAGTTACAACCTCTGAGCCACCTGCCTCAGTCCCCTCTTCAGTGACTTCCACATATGCCTCGTGGATGGCCTCAGATATCCTCAGGCTCTCTGCTGAAGAGATGCCAGAGAGGTTGGCTGAGGGGCTGAACAGGTCGGTCATACCCAAGGATGTCAAGACAGATGTGAGGTTGTATTTCTCCTCAATCTTCATGCGTGGGAGGTACACTCTCACCCTCTTCTTTTCCATCACCTTGGGACTGGTCCACTCCATGAGTTTTTCATAGCTGATTTTGTTCTCCAGCTGCAAAGAGAGGCAGGAAATTAAATGTCTGAGACAAAAATTCAATGTCCTTCAAAGCTGTGTTTTTACCACCTGTTACTGGCCTTATCCATTTACTTTATGCACACAACAGAACTGGTACTTGTTCTTAAACACACTTGTTTTTCCTGTATGCTTCCTCCTGACTATGGAGCCTATATCATCTGTCAGTCTTGAGAAAGTTCCTCAAAGGTTTTCATCTGAAAATTTCTTCATCAGATCAAGTCTTTTTGTGTAAAAATACCGTTTTTGAAAACATCAAATCAAATTTGCCCTAAAACTCTTCCTCTTGGAAGATGTTTTATTGATCCCTTTCCTCAACTTTATTCCTTTCTAATGTTACTTTTCTCATTTTCCTTTTAGTCAGCATTTGGAATGCTTTATTCATCACTTCCATTTTTTATTTCTCCTAGGATAAACTTTTTTCCTTCAGCAAACATTTGAAATCACTCACAGGGATAAAAAAATACTGCTACCTTGCCTGCTTCTGATACCCAATGGAGCTTGGTGCATATTGCAACATCCTCTTCTGCAGGGCTGCAGCAGCACTACAATGCTTTGCCTTTGTTTTATAAAACTGAGCTCAGGACTCTCCTAAGAGGCTCTCCCTGAGCACCTGGACAGATTTTGTGCTCCCCTGCCTGCCCAGCACAGCCGTAGGGTGGGAAGCTGGCATGTCAATGGACAGCAAAAGTCTGAAGCTGGCATGTCAATGGACAGCAAAAGTCTGACAGCAGCCAAACCCCACTGAAGTCATAATTCTTCTGCTTGCCCTGCCAGGCCATACCTGTGCCAGGCCAGAGATGTCATCAGGCAGCAGCACCAACAGGCTCAGCTCTCCACTGGCGTACGGAAGCTCCAAGATTTGTTCTGACGCATCATTTGCACTGGTCTGCTCTCTTGCTGCAAAAACAAAAATGAGATGATGTGATGTGGGAGCAGCAATCTTTTTCTTTGGTCAGACAAATGTACTTTGAAAGGACAGAACTCAATTTTCAATCATGCTGCCTTTGAGAAGAGCTGTGTCTCCATTTTCTTCCCTTGCCTGCTTGTGTGCCCTGGAATCCTGGTCAGACAGAGATCTTGCAAATGCTACTTGTCATTAGGCCCAGGCACTGACAATGAGGGACTCAGCTATATCACCCAACCTGTGACAGGTATTTGTAACACCCAAACTTCTGGCTGTGTGAGCCAACAGCTGCCCTGGCCAGAAGTGTGTCTGTACCCTCCTACCTCGGTCACATTGAAAGGCTCTTCCTCAGTGTCTTCTTTTTTAAATGCAGTTTTCCATATCCCTTTGAAGTAAATGACATTCACAAAGACCAGTGCAGTATTGAGATCAATAGAGTCTGACACAATGAGGTCTTGGATACGTCCTTTAAGAAAGAGACAGGGCAGAGATAAGACAAGCTGTAAGGTACACCTCCTCTGGTGTGCACAAATCTTGGCAATGTTGGGGTGAGGGTGTGGGTTGGGGAGTTTCATTTTCATAGCAATAAGCAACCAGCTCTTGCTTGACCCACCTTTTCTGAAGATTGTGAGGAGAAGAAGACAAGGATATAGTTTATGGTAGGTGAGGGAAAATAATTGCTACTCATTTTTCAGTCCTTACCATTTGTCTCTTTTTCCACCCAGGAATTGATGATCTGTCGTGCTTCCTCTGCAGCTGTTTTGAAGTCAACTTCTTCCAGCTCCGCCTTGTAGAATTTCTGTGCACACTTTATGTATTCCTATAAGCAGAAGGGTTACAGTTGTCAGATGAGAACTTGGAATTATATGGATGTGTAAAGCAAGATTGTGAAATAAAGCAGAATGTTTTAAGGAACAGTGAATGTTTACTCCTGGGTTTGAACATGTCAGACACTGAACAAATCAGTCACAGCTGTCTTCCTGTAACTGAATCTTAAAGCTGTACAAGAAAGATTGCTTCACATATATTGGTCTGGCACTTTTTGATGAGACAGGGTTCTAAGTTAAAATTTTGATACATTTCCTTTGTTTTACCAATATAGCCTCAGTTTAAGAAACATTTCTAAGGACAGAAAATGTTTGTCTCCTCTTTGTGTTCATTCTTTAGGGTTTTGAATCTTGTGTTCTCACATTCTTAGATTTGAAAAACGAAGCTTCTTTTCACTAGAAAAACTAGTGACAATTTCCGTTTTCATTATTTCAAGTAATAAAATTTATTTAATTTCCCTTAAAAGTTAACATTTTTCATTAAAAACCATTTTTCTAGTAAATTAACAGCAATCTTGATTACTCCCTGTGATTTTCAATATAGGCTACTTTATGCGACTATATTTTTGCCTTCATCTGATAGGCGCAAAAAGGTCCAAACTCATTCTGTACCAGTTCTCCTGATGGCTCACCAGCATCTCTTCTTCAGCAGAGTGGGCTGCTGTTGGTGGTGCATCTCTAGGGCAGAATCACAGGGGATTTACAGGAAATCTCATGGAAGTCAGTTCACAGTATAACTCACCTGAAGAATAGGGTATGTTTTTTCGATATAGAGTCTGTCAGCAATCCTGAGTGAGTAAGTAGCATTTTGCCGGCCGATGTCTGAGAGAAGATCCTTGAATGATTTGTGGATGTACTCAGCAGTGCCACACTGAGGTGATGACATGAGAAAAGAAGATAGATTGCATAAGGAAATAGGATCCTAAAGTATTGTCCCTTTCAGTTAAGAGTGATGCCACAAGGCAGTCTTCCCCCCACAGACCGTCACCTTTGGGACAGACAGTGCTGTGGTGGTGGTGTATTGAACTGGCAAGTTCATCCTTGTCAAGGCAAATCCCATGAAATGTGCTTTTTAAAAGATGCAGTTGAGTTCCTGTCACTGAGACTCTGCTCAGCATCTTCCTGCCCAGCTGAAAATCAAACTGCTGTACCCTGGCTCTAGGTACTGAGCCCTCTTCACTCATCCTCCAGCAGCACTTGCCTGGGAAGACACCCTGGTGCCCAAGGCATTCTTCCCACACTATTACTTGTTCTGGTGCAAGATAAGCAACCTGCTGTCTTTCTATGTTATTTAAAAAACAGGTGAATCACACCCTCCCTCCTTCCCTCCACAGATCCCCTTGGTTTGAGGCCATTACTGTAGTTTTTGTCAGGGTCTGAAACTGCCAGGAGGAGAGACAGAAAAGTTCTACTTTCATTCTGAGAAGAAAATAAGACAGATAGGAAAATTAAGTTATTTCTCTACCTGGGAGTCAGAAATGTCTCTATCTCCTGTAACATTATCAAAGTGAAGAACCTGCAGGAGAAAATACCAGTAGTAGAAATGAGAAGCATGATCAAAAATAATGTGAATTTGAGATTTACACATGTTGCTTGTGTAAAAAAACCTGTTGGCTCAGAAAAAAAAAAAAAAAGCTGAGAAAATAGATTAACTAAAAATGTACAGGTGAGTTTGCAACAGGTCTATTGCCTCTGTGACCTTTTTGGAAACTGTAAATACTTTGCTTAGATTATATTTTTTTCTAGTGAATGTATAGAAATTAATTGAGTTACTTATTATGTATTGCTAAAAATATAAAAATATTCTGTCTTCCTGTCTTTCTGGGATTTATCTTTTATATATATGTTAAAAAAGAAAATCTGATTACATCATTTGGAACTTGTCAGAATTTAAAATTCTTAAAATTGCCTGACTGGTAATCTATTTTGCTATTGTCCCTGAGACTATTTTTTAAGTTTAAGTCAACTGCCTGTTATATTGAAAATACACACCTTTCTTATTAGTATTTTCTATATATAACTCTTAATTCAGTTCTCCATTTTGTGACGTTGGCTTAGTTCTTGTGCACTGAAACAGGTGAGAACCTCATCAGTGGATAATGTTTTTTCAGTGATGTTACTGAGAAAGGACAAGTAGCACAAGTAGAGGTCACTTTACTAAGTAAAGGTAAGTAACTTACCTTCTCCATCTGGGACTGAGTCTTACCCCTTGCTCCCATATACACCAGGGCCAGGGTTGAAAGCATGCTCAGGGAGGAAAAGAGCACATTGTCATTGCTTCGGTGAAGTTTCACCTCTTTGAATACGTCAAGACAAAATTCTGCATTTGCTGCACTGATGGAGCCCATTGTGAAATCCCTGTCGTCTGAAGGAAACAGAAAGGGTCTGACTTACTGTGGTGAAGTAGGTCAATTGTAATGCAAAAAAATTCAGTGCACATGAACCCCAAACTTAGTGCACAGGTTTTTTTTAGCAGACAGAACCAGTGGCGTGGATTTAAAAGGCAGACATGCTTTTGGATTCATGAGCAATCAAAGTCATGGACATCTGCCAGCTGTGCATTGGCTGGTGAAAGAAGAAAACGCGGACTAGAAAATACAGTACTTTGAAGTCTAATGCAACAGTACAGTGTTTATGTCACTTTTAACTTAAGGTCTCAAGGATCTTCAAGCAATTTGTTTCCCTTTGTAGCTGCTAGAGAACAAAATCCAAGGTACTTTGCCGTATGTATCACAGACCCTATGGAGTCAACATCTTCATGTCACAGTCATCTCTTAATGTGAGATAATTTGAACAGCAATGCATCTGACTATTCCCCTGATTGAATGGGTGCTCCTTCTCTTTCTAAATTAAACTGATTTTATGGGTGATATGAGGTAGAATTTTTATTATTTACCTTCTCTGCTTACTATTATATTTTAGGCTTTAAGCTCTGTTTATGTTCTTAGTGAAGAAACAGATTCATGAAGCAAATACTTGGGATGGGGGTTTGTTGTCATTTATCTTTGAAAATGTAACATTAAAGATAACACAGAGCTGTAGAATGATGGGATCATTTGAACATTCTGCACTCCTTGATTTCATCCAGAGAATATCTTACATGACCCCTGGAATTTAAACAAATTCAGTTTTGTCTTTTAATATTAAATGAAAAATTAAAGCAATAGAGGAAGAAGGAAGAAAGTCTGTTTAACTTATCACCAGCTTTTCAATGTGGAAGAGTTAATAAACAAAACTGTTAATTCATAAATACATTAGTTCATAAATACAAATACTTTGACTTTATGCATGGCAGACTGTGAACAGCAGAATAATACAGAAGATACATCTGAAGGTAGGTAAGGTTTCTGCAGAAGGCATCCTGTGATAATTAGCTTCTTAACTGATATTGAAGGCCACAAACATGAGGTTACATCAATGCAATTATAAGTATTGTAAAAGACAATCGGTTTTTATCTTGCAGATTAGAAATTAAATCATAATTGAAAGAAATGCTTACCTTATCAGATTCACCAGGGAAAGGTATAGCACAGCTTCTCAGCTGTACTTGGGGCAGACTTGAGGAACCCCATGAAATATATCTTGTGTTATCTTGTGACACGCCCCGTGCTGCCTGTTTTGTGTTTACCCAATAAAGTGATGGATGGAGCTCAATGTCAGACATGAACTTTTACTTGGAATAAGTCCATTCTTTGAAACAAAAAAAACCCCAAAAAACAAAACAAAACAAACAAACAAAAAAAAGCCTGAATGAAATTATTTTAACTCAAAGTTTCCAAAAAGGAAGATTTATTCATCATACTGCAGAAAAGACAGGAGAACATTGAAATGACTGAAGCAAAAATAACAATAAAGGCTATTCATTGGAACTTGAATAGAAAGTATGATTTGGTTATGGCAGCAAATAGTGTGAAAATAAAACAAAAAAGAATGGTGAGGAATTCAGTCTCTCAGAATGTCTGCAAGGAATTTTGTCTTATTTTCTTCAATATTCCTCTGTCTTGAATAGTGACAGGCCAGATCCATCTCAGAATCACCATTCTGTGAACTCACAAATTTTGGTAAGATCAGCATATGCAGGGTTGTATTTATCGCAACTTTTCTCCTATTGTTGGCTGGACTGCCATTATCACCAGTCTTTCTTCCCACCAGAATCCATAGCACTTCCTAAGGAATGGAGAAAATTTGCCACCAAGGAACATAAGAAAGAGCTTATCCTAAGAAAGAGCTTATCCTTTCAATGTTTATTGCCAAATTTAATAAAATTTAAGTAGATTTTTCTGCAAGAAGTTATATGTATTTGCCTGGTGTCCCTTGCTGCATTGTAAAAGACTACAGATAAGAGTGTTTCACAGAGCTCAGTTTTTCATGCCAGAGCAACCTAGCTCAAGGAACTCAGACATAGTCACAGTCTGTGGAACAAAACTCTCAGTGAGTGTATTTGGCAATATTAATTAATTTCAAAAGCAATTTCAATGCATCTATACAGGGAAGAATTACAGAACTAATGAAAAATGTGTTGGGGGAAGAGAAGTTGAGAAAATAAGACAAGATTTCTGTATCTTTTTAAATTCAGGAATCAGGATATTTAGATCCTAGTCAGATGCTACCAGAAAAGGATTTGAAGTCACCGCTATAATTTTGAAGGGTGGTTTAAGGTGTGCTGTTCTTTTCCACAGGTCACAGCACCAGATGCTAGGTTCAAAATGTGCCTTTTGTACATACAGAGACCATTCTTACAATACCATTCTTACATTCTCCCACAAGCAACTTCATGGCACAACAGCTGAACAAACCAGCTGAAGAAACATTCATGGTCTGCAAGACAGTCATAATATACAATAGCAGGCAGAAACCAGTTGCATAATTCCTTTGAAATAAAAGAATGGACACACAATAAAAGAAAATGCTTTGACCTCTTAAATGCCATGTAATTTTAAAACAGAAATCCAAAGTCAATACACAAAATGGCTCTGAAATTGTGTAGAGCAAATTATGCTACAGGAGAGCAGAGGTGGACTTTTTAACCATTTTAGTTGTCTGCACAAGAGGAAAGCCTCTGAATCGTCCTTTACTTTCTCTCTAGTACAGTTCTTCATAGTCCCATTCAGCTAAAGTTGCCCATGCGATAGGAGCCACAAAGAGTTCGGTCTGGACTGGTGCATTTACATCACACTGGTACTTTACATGGTAAGGTTTGTGGTCCAGGCCAGTCTACTACAACCCTTGTTATGCAGGAACAGGGTTTTTGAGGAAAGATCTTTAGACCTTGACTCGATTGGGTGGCTCATCACTGCAGATATACTGCAAAAAGAGTGAGATAGTCTCTCTCTGGAGCAGTGTGTAAACTTGTCACCTCTATTGTGAGTCACATTTAGCTGAAAAGGGTTCCACCTTGCTGGAGGACAACTGGTCAAATGAGTGCATGTGCCTGTGTGGGTGAACCTTTAATCACGCTGCTGGGAGTGCTGCCTAGACTGCAAGCTGTTCCTGCAGCTGCTACTCCCTTTGCCTTTCCATCATGAGACTGCCTTGTTTCTGTTCAAACTGCCTTCTACACTCGTGGCCATGGTCCATTGCAATGTACTTGACAGCTCAGAAGGCCAAGGATTAGCCAGTATGTTTGCCCCTGTCACTTCTAATGTTTGAATATGCCTTGAGTCTTTTTCCTTGACAATCGAATTGTCAGTGCTTCAGCTCACCATATGTGAGCCACCTTGGTACTTGTGCACCATCTACCTGAATCACATTTGTGTCATCATAGACATCCTGTAACTTGGTGGTTACAAAGATGTCACATGAGTTGGTACAGGTGTTTTGTAACAGCCAACTCACAGAGTTAATGTTGTTAGCAAAATATTTCTGAGTTGAATATATTCAGTAATGGAAGAAATTTTTTGGTTTACAGTAGAGAAGGGGCAGTTCCACTGCTTGAGAAGTGTGTTAATGCACAACCCAGATTACTGTTTTTAGCATTTCAATTTTTTATTGGTCAAATGAATGATTAATGTAAAACAAGTTGCAGAAGCAGTTAACTCATTCCACAACTAAGTAAAAAACTTGATTATGATCAGCTACCAGCACAGAATTGTAAGAATACGAGAGGTAGTTCCTAGTGAACTGAGCAACTTTATATCAGTCATGGAGTCCAGTGAGATTAAGCAAAGCTTCCTGCAGTTGAAACGCTTCCTCAGAGAGAAGGTAATGTACTGCCCTGTCCAGCACAGCTGTGTAATGCAGCACAAACTCAAAAGGATGTGTTTATCCACATATCCTTGTTTGACAATGCTCGTCCCAAGAAGGAGGTCAGCTAAGGCTCAGTTGCCCTTTCCTCTGCCAGGCATTTCATTGTGGAGCTGTCCCTAAACCAACAGACTCTTGGACATTTGGACCTTTACAAAAGGATATGAAGTCCAGGTCAGCTCACAGACCAAAGCCTCTCATCCAATCACAACATCCCACACAGAGCTCAAGATTTAGTTTGCATCCATGCTGCTGTTCTTTTGTCAGTGGAAAGGAGCATTTTGATTGTTTCATGTTTGTCTTACTCAGAGTGAGTGCCAGTGATTGTTCAATTAGCTGCCACTACAGACCTTGGTACTAATCAATGATGGTTTCTCTCTCAGTTGTCCTGTAGGACCATGTTCTTTCCCCAGTCTGAAGAAACTTTTGGTATCTGGTCAAGCCCTTTCAGACAGGAGCTCTTAGCCCACCTGGTATCTTTCATTGGCAGCCTTGTGCCATCCTGAAGTGCTGGGCATCTTTTCTTTCAGTGCTTCCTTGTTCACTCAGGCTGTGACAGGGCTGTGCATACCTTAGTGTTGGCAGAGTGAATTTCTCCAGTGAAGGCATCTTCAGAAGGATCCCATGATGGTTTTGGTCACAAATCGCTCACCCTTACTGCATCTGCTTAGCAGTGCACACAACATCCAGAGTCTGTGGCTGTGCAGATCCTGGACCAGCACACACAGCTGTCCATTTATCAGTCACCACAGCACACATGAAGTCCCTTATTCATCCCTCAAGTCGATGGAACCAGCCAGCAGCCAGGGTGACGCTGTGTAAGGCCATACTCACAGGCTCCTAGGGAGGCAGCAAGGTAACGAGGGCCTTACATTCCAGCACAGGGCAGGAATGATGGCCACTGGCATTGTCAGGGCAGTTAACTGGCTGTGCCACATGGGAGCTCAGTTACCAGTGTCCCTCCCCACAGAGAAGCCTGTTTTGGCAGCCTGTGACTAACACTGCCCATGTCACCATGCCTCTTACATTACCTCCCTTCACTCACTGGAAGTCTGCCCAGCATGTCCTTTATCTCAGCACATACTCCCAGGAAAAACAGCATTTTTCTTTTGCACAAAATAGGATAAACTAATCTCTTGGTTTGTTTCAACACAGACTTCCTTCCACAAAGCCTTCCTCTCCTCTGAAGAGCAGCCTACTGAGATTCTTGACAATATTCCTGTCATGTCTCCTGCAGGAAAAAGACTGCTGCAGAAAAGAGAAACGTCACTACACAAGAGTCCATGCCCTCATGTTGGCTTTGCAAAAAAGAACTGGGAGGCCTGGCAGACACCAAGTTGACTGTGAGTCAGCAATGTGTCCTTGTGATGAAACCAGTCAACAGCACAAGAGAATGACTCAGAAAAAAGACTGCCAGCAGGTAAAGGGAGGCTTTCCTGTCCCTCTGCTCAGCACTGGTGGGACCACAGATGGAATGCTCTGTCTGGCTATGGGCTTTCCATTACAAAAGAGATGGGGATGTACAGGAGCAGGACCAGAGAAGATGATTAAAGTGTCTGTCATGAGAGGAGAGGCTTAGAGACATAGGACTTGTTACCCTGGAGAGGAAAAAGTGCAGGGGCATCTTATCTGTGCACATAACCTTCTTGATGAGAGGGTAACAAAAAGATAGAGCTAGACTTTCTCCTGTGAACAGGCAAGAGAGAAGGAACACAACCTGAAATATCAGAAATTACATTTAAACATAAGAAAATACATTTTCTTTTGGATAGGGAGGTAAATCCACATTGCCCAAAGAATCTGTGGTGTCTCCATCCTTGGAAATATTCAAAACTCAGAAGGACATGATTCCAAGTAACCTGCTGTAGCTGACTCTGATTGAAAGAGGGAGCTTGGAGTAGAAAATCAGCAGATGTCACTTCCAGTCTCAGCTGTTCTCTGCTTGCATATTATATCTAGAGGAAGATC